TACTTGGGAGACTGAGATTAGGAAGATCATGGTTTGAGGGCCAGTCTGGGCAAATAGTTTGTGAGAACCCCATCTCCAAAATAACTCAAACAAAATGGACTGGAAGAGTGGCTGAAGTGGTAGAGCACCTGTGCCCTGAGTTTAAACCCCAGTTCAACCAAAAAAAAAAAAAAAAATTCACGTCAGTGACTCATTCCCGTGCTAGCAGATATGTCAGTTCTTCTTTAGAAGTCATTGAAACCCATCCCATTTCAACCTGTTGATCCTTTACCAGCTCAGTTTAGTTGAGATGGACTTTTAGCTGGATACAGGTCATTATGAAATATCAGAGACACCCTCCCCCACAAAATAGTGACTTAAACAAGATAAAAGTTCATTTCTGTCTCATATAGAAATCCAGATGTTAGCAGTCTAAGGCGTTTATGTGAAGTTTCCTAAGAGGTGAATAATGAAAGGTGGGGGTTGCAACTAGCACTCTTGACACAGTGGAAAGGAGAGCAATTCAACAAACAAGTGCGTATCTACTGGGCAGATCCTGTTAGGCAGCCAAGGAAATGACACAATAGTGTCAAATCTTCATGTACTCCCAATCCAGAGTGATTTATCATAGCTAATTAGGTCACAAGTCAGGCTGAGACAAGAGTTCCACTGTGGCAGAGATAGAGCTGTAGGAGGAGGAGCCCTGGGGAAAGGCTTTACAAGAGAGGAGACACTTAAGTTTGCCATTCAGTGGCATAATTGAAAGAAAGGGGCAGTCAATAAAAAGAGAAAAGCAGCAGTAAATCCAGGTAGGACAGGTGAGGAAACTGGTCAGCAGCAAATACAGGTATGATAGATCAGGAAACTGACTCAGCTTGTAGATAGAGTTTAGGCTAAGTTGCAAGATTCTCTTTCTTAATCATATTCATTTTACTTCCTTGAAAATGGGTAGCAGAGATGTTTTCGAGAAGAGGTAAGATTAAATGTGATATATAGAGAGAACTCAAGCTAGATTCAGTCAGACGGACAGGAACTAGTGACAGTAGTATCAGAGGAAGATAATGAGGATTTGTTCCGAGTAGCACAACAGCAGCAGGAAGTGCAGCTTGAGGCTGGGCATGGTGGTGCACATCTCTAATCCCAGTACTTGGGAGAAGGAAGCAGGAGGATAACGAGTTCAAGGCCAGCCTGGGTTACAAACCCAGCTTCCAAAACCAGTAACTAACTAGCTCAATCAATTTCTAAATCTTTGAGGACATGAAAAGAAAACTTGGAGATAAAACATCAAGTATTTTTACCTGCAGTGTTTTGCTACAGGGTCCAAACTTCTGAAAACTTGCATTTCTGAATAAAGGAAACAACAGATATTTAAGGTGAAAAATACAAAGTTACTGAGGTTACAGTTCATGGTGGGAAAATACTAATTTCTTCTCACGATTATCGTATCTGCAATATTTATTATGCATTAATATTTTAAAAGTTGGGATTAAGGTTTTGAAGATTAGCAATTCAAAGAAAACAGCAGGCTAGACACATAGTTCAAGTAGGCTAGCAAGCACAAAGCTCTGAGTTCAAATTCCAGCGCCACAAGAAAAATAAAAAGCTAAAGAAATGGCTCACAACTTCATTTATTTCAGAGATTAGTGAAAAACAAGTTATTTCTGCTCTTAAAATTTTAAGAGAAGAAAGAGGGTTGAGCAGAGAGAGAGCTCTGGGGTAAGAACAGCCCTTTCCTTCAGAATGTCCCTTACCAGGCTGAAATGTCTGAGCCTTTGTACCCTGCCTAACTTAGTCACTGGAAGGGTGTGACATCCGGAGGTGGTAGACCCTAGAAAGCAAACAGCTGAAGTGTCCTTCCATAGATAGATATCAAGTCCTTCCTTGAAAGGAGTCTGGGTAGTGCATTTCTATTTCAACCTCCTGTGGATTGCAGGGTCTGGCCAACTGCGTGAAGCAGAGCCTCCCCCAGCTGTGATGCTGTTAGCTGAAGTAGCCAACTATGAGTTCTTTGCCGCTGTATCAGCATTATAAAGCCAATGTGGTTCTATCACCTTGGTTATATGTATGTGTAAAAACTGTTAGAAATGCCATTCCCAAACAGCAATCAAAGAAACATGGGTTTGGGGTTCACAATCTTTGTGATTGGTTACTTAGAAAAAGGGGCATGTAGGGAAAGGGGGGCCTTGAAGCAGGGAGAACAAGAAAATTCTTCTGGGCAATATTTATCTTTAAGCATGCAGTTTGTGATTAGGACACCTGGCAATAAACAGCTCTTTGTTTGGCTGCAAGAACCTTGTAAGGTCAAGCAACTTTGCACAAAGTATGAAGGTAGCAATTCGAGAGGTTAGCTGGCATCCACACAATGGTAGTTTTACATTAACTCCTTTGGCAGAAAACTTAACTTTAGTTGATTCTCACAAAACCTGGGCTGGACAATAATAATTACATTTGCCTTTGGAATTAAGTGATATACATAGTTTATATCTGAAGAAAAAGTATAAGACAAGAAAAAAATTATCTAAGAATGAAAGTTTCTTCCTTTTCCTGTTTTTCCTGATTGTGGTATATGACATACTTAGCCATGATAGTGGCAGAATAAAGTATCAGATTTTCTTCAAGAGCAATCCACATCTTGTATATGACACAAAAAATAGAAATTTCTCCAGCTGGGCTTAGTGGCTCACAACTGTAATCCTAGCTACTTGGGAGGCTGAAATCAGGAGGACCAAGGTTCTATGTTACTCAGACAAATAGTTTGGGAGACCCCCCTCTCCAAAATAACTGGAGCAGAAGTGGACTGGAGGTGTAGCTCAAGAGGTAGAGCTTCAGCTTTGCAAACATGAAGCCTTTAGTTCAAACCCCAGTCTCACCAAAAAAATTAAAAATAAAGAAATTTCTCCAAAGAAGATATTCAACTGGCCAACAAGAACAAGAAGTGCTCAACACCACCAGTCATTAGGTAAATTTAGTCGAACCCACAATGAGCTATCACTTCATACACACTAAGATGATAGATCAAAAGCTAGATAATAAGTGAAAGCAAGGAAAATTGTATATCTGCTTTGGAAAACAGTTTATCAGTTCCTCAAAAAGTTAAACATAAAGTTACCAGCAATTCTACTCTACTCCCATTTCCCAAGAGAAATGGAAACTTGTGTCTACCCAACATTTGTGTAGGGATGAAAGCAGCATTATCCATAATAACCGAAAAGCCCATTGACTGATAAATGGATAAGCAAATTATGGTGTATCCACATTAGGAATGTTATTCAGCTAAGGCTGGAGGTGGAGGTGCCACTCAACCAATAGAGTACCTGCTTTGCAAGTACGAAGTTCAAACCTCAGTCCCACCAAAAAAAAAAAAAGAAAAGAAAAAACCCAAAAACAAAAACAAACAACAAAAAAGAACCCCAAAACATACAAACAAACAAAAAAAAGGAGTGAATGCTGAGGTATGCTACAAAATTGATGTTGAAAACATCAATGCTAAGAGAAAGGAACCAGACACAAATGGCCATATTTGTATGATTACATTTATATGAAATATCTAGGATAAGCAAATTCATAGAGACAGAAATTTGGTTGCCAGGGGATGGCAGGTGGTGGTGGTGGGGTGGGGAATCGGCAGTGCCAAGTTGAGGAATTTCTTTTGGGAGGTGATAAAACATCTGGAATGAGATCATGGTGGTGGTTGCACAGCTCTGTAAATATACTAACAACTTCTGAATTGTATTTGGTAAGAGGGTGAAATAGGAAGCATCTTAGAGCCCCAGTGTGCCTACGGGCTGTTCTTAGGAGGCTGACATGATTCTCACACTGACTCTTAGTAACATTCTGATGCCAGAGGCAATGTGGATGGAAACTAGCAGAAGAGCACTTTGAAGAAGGCCCAAGGTTTTAAAACCCCATCTTATTCTTGCACAATCCTGCTAGAAAGAGTTTCCCTAAGCAACTGTAAAATGGTGATTTTTCATTCAAGTTCCCCAGAAAACCCCAGATCCCAAAATTCTACAGTTAAAAATATTGACCAAAAATATGCGAAAACTTTTGTACAATCTAGTAGCTCATTTTTTAAAAAATTATTTGTTTTTTGCTTTCTTGTTTTGAGACAGGATTTCACAGTTTAGCCCAGCTAGCCTAGAACTCCTAGTCTACTTGCATCATCTTCCCAAGTGCGAGGATTACAGGTGTATACCACCATGCCTGGTACTAATTGGATCTAATTTTTTATTTTAAAAATATTTATTTATTTATTTATTTATTTGGCAGTATTGGGGTTTGAACTCAGGGCTTCATGCTTGTAGGCACTCTACCACTTGAGCTATGTCACCAGCCTAACTGGCTCTACTAGATAAGTTTCCAAGGTGGCCAAATTAGGATACAGTTTTTGGTTCTTCTTTTTATTTTATTGTATTTTATTTTATTATTTGGTGGTACTGGGTTTTGACAGGGCCTCACGCTTGCTAGGCAGATGCTTTAACACATGAGCCACTTCACCAGCCCTATCCTTTTTATTTTTAAAGTTAGTTCTCTAAGCATAGGTAAAAAATACTAGCAGACCTAAGGATGTAGTGTTCTCTATGAAATGGGTCCTGATTGGGAGTTCTCTTTTTACAGATGAGAAAATCAAGGCAGAAAGAGGCTGTTGGAAACAGCAAATCAGTGCAGACTCCTGAGTAGAGCCCTAAAGATGTATAATGCCAGGGCTCTGTTCCCAGCATCTCCTACTGTAGCAGGAGATTGTTGAATTGGTGTCAAAGTTCATTATTTACTTATTAATATTATTTGTCTTCCTCTTAATTTCAGTGGAGCATGTCATAGTTTATGAAGCCATTTCATATCCATTATTTTGTTTCAGCCTTACCTCAACCTTAAAAGATACAGTTTTATCATTACTGTTTTACAAATGAAGTGAGAGATTCTAACAGGTGAAGTAGCTTGCCCAAGTTCACATGGGCAATATAAGACATTCTGCCTTTGAAGTCTGGTCACTATATTCCTTTTCTTTTCTTTTAATGCAGACTCAAACAAAGGATTTTTTATTCCCTTCCCCAACCGAGAAATAATAGAGGATTCGCTAACCAGTACTTCTGCAACCCAGGGCAATGGTACACCAGGTCAGAAATCAGATACTCTCCCACTGGGGACACAGGTAATGTATTCACTCTCCTACTGATCTGTTAACTAGTTGATGGCTAATAATAATAATTGACTGGACTTTCAGTTATTTATGAGGACACTTTATTGATAAGTGCATTTTTGACCTTTAAAGGTAAAAGGCAAGACAGAATGCTTCTCTGTTAATTTCAACCTCCCCTTCTTTCACTAACCTGTTATCATATGTCATAAGTTTGTACATGTAACTTTAGCACATTTTATGCCAGGTATTTTGGTCTTCAAATAGGGTTGCAACTATTAGTTTCTGGCTGTTTATACACATTCTCTTCTCTATCATCGACTCCATCTGTCCTCTGGTTTCTTAACATTTTCTACCTCTACCTTTAATTAGGAACTCTTCCATTTCACAGGTGGCTTTCCCAAAGCTGTCCCTTTAGTGTAACAGAAACAAAGAAAGGTTAAGGAGTAAGATGACACAGGAGTGGTGGATAATGGCAAGGTAAAGCTCATGCAAGAATTAAAAATAAGTTTTTAGTGAAAAAAATTGGTGGAGGAAGTCATGTAACCATTATATAAGGCTCATTTTGTGGGCTGATGAGTGGCTCAAATGGTAGAGTACCTGCCTCAAAAGCATGAGGCTCTGAGTTTAAACCCACTACCACCAATAAATAAAGAAGACTTCATTTTGTGAGCAAATGTGATACAAAGAGCAGAACTGACTATATTATGTTCAGATTCTCCCTTTGTCTGCCTTTTTTTGGATACATTTATAAGCTGTAAAAATTGTAGAAAATAGCCAGAAAGAGAAAAAGGCAAAGGCTCTGTTTAATGCATGATTTGAATTGTCAAGACTGTACTAGTAAAAAAAAAAAAAAGTTAAGATTTTGTTTTCAGTTTGAGTATATAATGCCTTCTTATTTTGAAAAGACAGATTAACATTTAATTGATTTCTTTGTTTTTGGAAGTCTTACTTGGGTGACTTCCAAACTATCTCCACTACGATTTTTTTTTAAATCTTAGTATTAATTTAAGGAAATGGAAACAGAGACTACTCTAATCTACAGTTAGAGATAGATAGCAGTTCTTAGATTAGAAATTTTAAAAATAAACAGAAGAAACTACTCTGAAATTACTTCTTGAAGAGAGACAAAAAGGAAATAGAATAGCTTAACAAATGAAGACGTGGTAAGACTTCTTTCTCTGCATAGCTACCAAAAACAAACACAAACAAAACACTAAGTAGTTCATGACACTTTTTAAGAACAAACCTTAGATAGTTTTCTTTTTGCTTCAGATCCTGCCTTGTTATTGCAAGGATTAATTTTCAGTCTATAAAAACTTCTGTTAGTTCCTGTAGTTGATACTCAGCTTTCCCAGAAGGTAAAATAAATTTGGGAATCTTTTACATAGGCATAATAAAGCTGGAGAAAACAGCCTCATCTAATTTGTATGCTGAGTTATCTGAAGCAGAGAAAATTGAGTTTTGCACTGTTCACCTTCTAAGTATATCTCCTTACCTGCTCCAAAGCAACTCTGGAACCTCCTGGTATTGTGACTGTTTTAAAGTAGGTAGGCTCAACCCTGGACCTTTGCTTAAAGGTCTGTTTCCCTTGCTTGCAAGGGTGGACATCCTTACTAACAGGAAAGCACTCTGAACCTGGTCCACTGAGTTCATATCTGAATGCCCATGAATGCCCTTCTTAAACTTTTAAACTTTTTTTAGATGCAGGAAGTGAGAAGGGAGATGCCAAGCGACAACCACCAGGGAGATGGTAAATATTTTGCTCACTAAGTATTTTTCCCCACTGTCAGAAAAATCTGAATGTGAGGGTGTGATGAGATTTGAGAGATGGTGATGTCACAGCCACAGGGCCCTGTTTAGTCAGCTCACCCTTTTCAGCTTTCGGATGGGCGGAGGCTACCTTGGATATTTAGTGACCAGTGAGCAGTGAGGCTTTTCTGCTTGAAGAGTTGATATACTAGCCTCCTTTGATCTTTTATATTAGCTGATTATTATGTTTCTTTTTCTTACTTTTCCTGCCTTTTTTTTTTAATTGGTGGATCTGGGGATTAAATTTAGGGCTTCATGCTTGCAAAGCAAGTGTTCTACCATTTAAGCCATACCTCTAGTCCTCTTGCCTTCTTTTGGATTCTTTCTTTCTTTCTTTCTTTTCTTTCTTTTGTGGTGGTATTGGGGTTTTGAACTGAAGTGCTAGGCAGTAGCTCTACCACTTGAGCCACATTTCCAGCCCTTTTTTGCTCTGGTTATTTTGGAGGTAGGGTCTCACTTTTAGCCCAGGTTGGCCTGGATCATGATCCTCTTATTTTAGATATCTCACAATAGCCAGGATGACAGGTGTGTGTCACCACACTCAGCCTTTGTCAGTTAGGATGGGATCGTGAAAGCTTTTTGCCTTGGCTAGCCTGGAACTGTGATCCTCCTGATCTCAGCCTCCCAAGTAGGTAGGATTACAGGTGGGAGCCATCTAGCTGTTACTTTTCTATCCGTTTTTGGTTGGTTTTTTTTTCCCCCTCTACCAGTTTGTAAGTTACGTATAGTTTCTATACTTTCAGCATTATTCTCAAAATGACAATATGTGTCTGTTCCTTAATTTATACAATTTTTAAACTAATCAGTACCTTAAGTTTCTCTTGGATAACTTAAAGACCTTAGAGTACTTTTCTCCATTTAATCCCTCCTGACATATATTTATTCCTCTGGATTTTAATTCTCTGTATTTTTTAAACCCCACAAAATATTTTATACAGTGTACATTTAAATTTATCGATATATTCTACTTTGTCTTCTCTTCGTTTATCTTTTTAATCCCAGAATTCCCTTCTGAGATAATTTTTCTCCAGCTTATAGTTTATCTTTTAGAATTTTCTTTAATGTGGGCCTATTGGTGATAAATTCAGGTTTTGTTTGAAAATGTCTTCCTTTTGCCATCATTCTCAAAGGCATTGTTTTTATATGTGTGTGTGATACTGGGGTTTGAACTCAGAGCTTCATGCTTGCTAGGTAGGCACTCTACCGCTTCCAAACCCTTTTTGCTGTGGTTATTTTTGAGATAAGGTCTTGCTTTTTACTATGGCTGGCCTGTACTGCAATCCTCCTATTGATGCTTCCTGAACCAGCTGGGATGATAGGCACACCTGTCTCGAACTTTTTTGCACCAGCTGGTCTCAAACTATGATCCTCCCAATGTCTACCTCCCAAGTAGTTAACACTACAGGTGGGAGTCACCAGCACCCAGCTATAAGAGTATTTTTGCTGGATCATAGATTTCTAGGTTGGCACATGTTTCAGAGTTTTGAAGTTATTCCATTCTATTCTGTCTTTTGTGATTGGCTTTGAGAAATCAGCTGGAAGTCTATCACTCTGGCAAGGATCATCTCTCTTTTTTTCCTCTAGCTACTTTTAGGAGTTTCCAATTGTCTTTGGTTTTATACAATTTAACTGTTATGTGTGGATTTATTTTTATTTTATTCTGTTTGGTATTTATTATACTTCTGATATCTATAAATTGTTCCTCATTAGTTCTAAAAATTACTTCAAATATTGTTTCTGACCCATTCTTTCTCTCTTATCCTTCCAGAACTCTTAAATAAATATGTCAGAGATTTTCACTTTGTCTTCTTTCTCTCTTATTCCTCTATATTTTTCATCTTTTTGTCTGATCTACATTCTCAATAATTCCTTCTGACCCATCTTTCAGTTTCCTAAAATTCTCTTCAGCTGTGTTTAAATCAGCTGTTAAACTTGTCTACTGAATTCTTAATTTCAATTATCTTTTTTTCAGTTCTGTATGTTTGATTGTAGACCAATTATTGTCTACAGAATCAATACATATCTTACAACTACTGTCATGTAAAGATACACCATAATTTTTATATAAAATATGGTCTAAAAACTATAACTACAATTTTAGGAGGAAATTCCTAGGGGATTCAACTGATAGGAAATTTGTCTTCTGAATATTACAGATTCTTTACTGTTTACACAAATGTCCCACATGTGTTTTTGTTATCCATGTGGAAGTCCTTTCATCATTTTATGATACCAGCTATCAAAATTAGAAACACCTAAAACCTTTTTCTGGTTCAGTGAACAGAGGTACCCCAGCTGGGTCAAGAAAATTCTCATCATGTTTTGTTTTTTCCCTTGGTGGTGATTAGAATTCAGACATTACTCTCCTCGGCAGTCTGCAGTCCGGTCCCCAGAGAAGATGACTAGAGATGGATACCGAGTATCTTTTTTGGACAGTAAGCCATCAGTTTCTTCTCCAGAAAAGGACTTGATACCAACACCTGATACTTACCAACTTATCCATGATGACTCATTGGGTAAACGTCTGGATGTGGGTGATTCCAGCCAGATCCATCCCTATCAGTTACCTTCCAATGTTCTGGAAAATTATGATGGTCATTTTTCTCAAACTCTACCCCTGCATGGAAATATTAGTAAAAGGCCTCAGAGAAGCAAGAATTACCGAGAATACAACATGAAGCCTTCAAATGACATGAAGGCCACTGTATCCCATTCCTGTGGAGACTTACTGACTTCTCTGTCAAACCCAGACTCCAGCTCTGGAAGGCTTTTGAAGCTTAGTTCAGGTAATAGTTTTCTGTCATTTTACATGCTTCCCCCCCGCACCATAGGCAAGAAGATAGAAGGTATAATGGGAAATTTTAGAATTAACATTTCTTTTTTTTTTAATTTAATTTAATTTATTTATTTTTATTGTTTTATTATTCATATGTGCATACAAGGCTTGGGTCATTTCTCCCCCATGCCCCCACCCCCTCCCTTACCACCCACTCCGCCCCCTCCCTCTCCCCCCCCACTCCCTCAATACCCGGCAGAAACTTTCTTTTTTTTTTTTGTGGGAGTGGGGTTTGAACTCAGGGCTTCATGCTTGCAAGGCAGGCGCTCTACCACTTGAGCCACACCTCCAGTCGGCAGAAACTATTTTGCCCTTATTTCTAATTTTGTTGAAGAGAGAGTATAAGCAATAATAGGAAGGAACAAGTGTTTTTGCTGGTTGAGATAAGGATAGCTATACAGGGAATTGACTCACATTAATTTCCTATGTGTGTGTGTTACCTTCTAGGTTAATTCTTTTTGATCTAACCTTTTCTCTAGTTCCTGGTCCCCTTTCCTATTGGCCTCAGTTGCTTTTAAGGTATCTGCTTTAGTTTCTCTGCATTGAGGGCAACAAATGCTACCTAGTTTTTTAGGTGTCTTACCTATCCTCACCCCTCCCTTGTGTGCTCTCGCTTTTATCATGTGCTCAAAGTCCAATCCCCTTGTTGTGTTTGCCCTTGATCTAATGTCCACATATGAGGGAGAACATAAGATTTTTGGTCTTTTGGGCCAGGCTAACCTCACTCAGAATGATGTTCTCCAATTCCATCCATTTACCAGTGAATGATAACATTTTGTTCTTCTTCATGGCTGCATAAAATTCCATTGTGTATAGATACCACATTTTCTTAATCCATAGAATTAACATTTCTTAAATTGTATTTCAGGGTCACCAGTGGTCCATGGAACTTCCAAACATCTGCTAGGATATGAGTTTTACATGACAGATATATTAGAGAAAACTTGTAGGAATATGAGTTCTACAATTATATGTTGTTTTAGTTAACCTAGCATCCCAGGAATGTTTCTAGAAGTGTCTAGTCTTTTCTGGCCACATTCACTACTATTCTGAATTACTAATGTCAGGGTAAGTGATAAAGACTGCCTTTCAGTTGTTATTAACTTAGTCAGTAAAACTCATCAAACACCTATTGTGTGCCAGACACTGTTCTAGCTCTGTAGATAAGGTAGCAAAAAATATTAAATTCCATATATGTTTTATCATAATTTCTACATTTTAATAGGATATAAGGAACAAGTTAACATATAAACATATATCAGGTTACGATAAGTGCTGGGATGAAAAACTAGAAATATAGAAATACTAAGGAAGAAGTGATGTTTCTTGTTTTATTTTGAGGCTTTTTTTTTTTTGGTGGGACTCAGAGCTTCAAAGTGCTTGCAAAGCAGGCACTCTACCACTTGAGCCACACCTCCAGTCCATTTTGCTCTGGTTATTTTGGAGATGGGATCTCAAAAAGTATTTGCCTGGGCTGGTCTTGAACTGCAATCCTCCTGATCTCAGCCTCCCAAGTAGCTAAGATTACAGGCATGAGCCACCCATACCCATCTGGAAGAGGTGATGTGTTAGACTAATGGTCAGGGAAAACCTCTCTGATAAAGCATCATAAAAGTAGAGACTTGAAGGTCAAGCATGGCCTGTAATCCTAGCTACTTGGGAGATGGAGATCTATAGGACTGAGGTTCAAGGCTGCTCCCAAAAAAGTTAGTGAGACCCCATTGCAACTAACAAGCCAGAAGTGGTGTCATGTGCCTGTAATCCCAGTTATTCAGAAAACATAGGTAGGAGTATCATGGTCTGAGGTGGGCCCCAGGCGAAAATATGAGCCCCTATCCAAAAAGTAACTAAAGCGAAAAAGGACTGGAGGCATGGCTCAAGAGATAAAGCATTGCCTAGCAAGCAAGAAGCCTTGAGTTCAAACCCAAATACCACAAAGAAAGTAGAGATTGAGTGAAATGAGAGTATAAACAATGTGAATGATTAGGGGCAGAACTTTCTAGATAGAATAATAAGTGTGAAGTTCGTGAGGCTGGAAGGAACCCCTGTGAATAAAGTAAGCAAAGTGTATAGATGAAGTTAGGATAGTGAGATGAAAAGGGACCGTGGAGTGGGGAACGAGAGTGGAAATGTCTAAAAAATCATTTAAGAGATTAGAATCTAGGTAAGAGTTGGCTGTGGCTTGGGCTAGAGAGAGAACAGTGGAGGAGGTGTGAGTTAGTTCGATTTGGAAAATGTTCTGAAGATAACACCCCATGATTTTACTGATGACTTGAGGATGAAGTATGAGAGACAGAGGGTCAAAGATGGTGACTAACAGCTATCAAATGATTACTTAGGAGTTATCATTTACTAGATGAAAAAGAGTGGAAGGAACAGGTTATATGACAAATATAAAAAATTATAGTCCCAGGTAGTTGGGAGGTGGATCCTGGTCTGAGGCCAGCCTGAAGCAAATGGGACTTTTATTTGTAAAATGAACTAAAAGTAAAAGTACTAGGGCATGGCTCAAGTGGTAGAGCACTTGCCTAGCAAGGTTGAAGGCCCTAAATTCAATCCCCACTAACACCAAAAAAAAAAAAAATCCCAGAGATGCCAACATGGTTGTAAATATGAATTTGGGAAGTAAAAGTGTATGGATTGCATTAGAATGCAATTAGAATTACAGGACTGGATGAATTTAGACAGGAAAGACAGCTAAGGACTGATCCCAAGCCCTCTAAGAATTAGAAGTTAAAGAAATAAAAAGTAGCAATCATGAGAAAGAAGCAGTCAGTAAAGAAGAAGGAGAAAAGACAAAATGGAATATTGCCCTGGGAGCCAAATACAGAAGTGTTCAGGAAGGAGGAGGTGACAGGGCTGCATCAGATGCCTCTGTTGGAGGTTGGAGCTTGGGGCTGAAGAGTGAGGATAGTATTTGGTAATGCAAAAGACATTAACGAACAGCTTCAGGGGATGTTGGAAATAAAAGCCTTATTGAGGTGGAGTTCAAGAAAAAACTTGGAAGTGAGTCAATAGAGTTATTGAATATATACAACCCCTTCAAGGAGTTTTGCATTAAAGTGAAACCAAGAAATGGAACTGTAGCTCGAGGACTGATAGAAATGATCAGTAGAGGGAAAACTAATGATGCAGGAGAAAAAGGGAACAATTACAGAAAAAGAAAGAAAGAAAGCCAGGTATTGGTGGCTTATTCCTGTAATCTTAATTATTCAAGTGTTTGCAATTCAAAGCCAGCCCGGGCAAAAACTTCACAAGACCCCATCTGAACCTATAGCTGGGGCTCAGTGAGTGTGTGCCTGTCATCCCAGTGACTGGCATTCATCTGTTGTAACAAAAAGGAGGCAGAGAATTTATGGCCACAAATAGACTTGATAGATTCAGTGTTGGGATCAAGTGAATGTTTTCTTTGATTGTCACCATTTTCTCAGTAAAAAGGTCAGCACCTGAGAAAAAGAAGGAGAAGATGGTGTTGGAAGTTTGAGGAGAAAAGAGAAAGAATCATCTCAGGAAATAGAAGAGTAAATTGATGAGACTAACTTTTGAGGAGAGTTGGGAAGTACTAAGGGCCCAGACAAGCTAGCAAGGAAGGTCAGAACAAATGCCTGTTGATCTGGGTATGGTGGTGCATGCCTGGAATCCCAGCTATGCAGGAAGCATAGGTAGGAGGATCACAGTCTAGGCCAGCTGGGCAAAAAGCCTGATACTCTATCTGAAAAATAACTAAGCCCAAAAACAGTTGGAGTTGTGGTTTGCGTGATAGAACACCTGCCTAGCAAGTGTGAGGCCCTGAGTTCACAAATCCCAGTACCACTAAAAAAAAAAAAGCCAGATATGTGTTATTCAACCACGTCCCACTGCTCTGGTATAGGTTTGAAATATGTGGACACTAGATTTAACCAGAGTTGAGGTTTTGTCAGGTGGAAGGAGAGAAAAAAGGTCCAAAGAGTTGAGGGTATATGCTAGGGAGTAGTTATTATGACCGTTGGACTCCACTTTAGGTACATATGGGTGTGAGATGTGGGCCAGGTGAAAGACAGGTTCATCTCCCAGACTGTTTCCTCCACAGATCTGTATGCCACAACCCATTTCAACAGTGACCCTGCTTTGCTGGTCAATGTCGAGCAACAATTATCTAGCAGCCTTGGTGATTTAACACTAACACAAGGATCTTTCTCAAACAACTCAGTCCTGGGAAACTCTCTTCGAAACCTGCTGTTGCCCCCTGGGACTTCAGAAGACAGAGAAATTCTGACCAAGGGGTCAGTAAGCCCATCAAGGAGAGGATTCAAGAGGAAGGACAATATTCTTGCCAACCTGAATCCAAAGCATGGTTTCCAAGATGCAGCAGGCATCGAGGCAAGTATTGGCTTGTTTGTGCATGTACAAGAAGCACATAGCCTGAACCAGAATTGGGTTCTGTTGGGGATGGTGGTGGTTCTGACCAATAGTACTAGAGGTGCAGTGGATTTGCAGAGGCTAGTGGCTAATAAGTCAGACTAAAGTCTGAGATTTTTCAGTGCTTTGGAAAGTCATTCCCCGACTGCCACCATTTTCATTTCTATTGCAAGGGACCTGTCCCTGATCTGCTTCCAGAGCATAAACCTTGTGGGAAAGTACTTTGATATTAAATGACTCGCAAGAGTTTACCAACAGGAAGGAATGGGAAGTTTCAGGGTCCTTGGGGTTGGCTAAAGATCTTTGTAGCATCATGTTTACACATTTTTTTTCACCCACAAGTGACTAACTTGAAATAGTTCTTATAAAAGTATTGCTTTGCTTTTCTGTCTTGAAATTCAAATGCTTCTAAATTTCTTCCAAAGTAGCAGTAAGTGGATGAATTAGATTATCCAAGGGATTTTTAACTGAAAGTGGCACAGAGAATGAATGAAAAATTATGAATCATTCCCACAAATGACTCATTTTTATAAAATCATAATATGATAGTGTTAGACAATAAAACTTCAATATTATTTAGTTCTTACTAAGGAGTTTGGTCCCTGCCTTCACATACATTTCTTGGGGAGACTTTCTTCTACTCTCCTCTCTTGTCTGTTTTTTCATTTTTCTCTAGGTCTTACTGCCATCATGAAGCCTTCTCTTTGGCTAGAGGAGCCACAGCTCTCGGGACCCTCTCTTTCCCTGAGCCCATGATCCTTTCCCATATAAATAATTTGTCAGTTAATCATTTACTATCCTGTAAGGAAGCAAGGTATTTGGTCAAACCCAACTACTTCTAGTCACTTGTGTTTCAGTTGTTCAAAATCTTTTTGCATATTGGGATTAGCTTACAGAAAGTTTTGGGTTGTTTTTTGTTGTTGTTTTGGTTTTGGTTTTGGTTTTGACTCAATATTTCCTATTGAGTTTTCAGAACCTTGGAAGTGGTTATAATTTTTGTGCACCAAAGGGGGCAGTCTTGTAACACTTTCTTTAACTTTTGGTCTCTCCATTCTCAGCCACAAATGCCTATGTATCAGATAAAAACACTAACTGTGTATTAATGTACTTAGGGTGAAGACAGAGGAACTCTTAAGATATTTGGGATGCTGTATTACTAAGATTGTCTAGGAAATTTTTTTACCTCTATTTCACACATTGTTAAAAATTTTTTTAAATCTCAATGCATTTTCTGAACTATCTTTAAAACTCCCATTTCTTTTTCCCTATTAGACATTATTTTTCTTTATATGGAAAGCTTTCAAGGACCTGTTTGATTATAAATATAAAGCCAGCCTTTTGGTGTTTTGGTTGGAGGAGGAGGTACTAGGGCTAGAACTCAGGAACTCCTACATGCTAGGCAAGCACTCTACCACTGAGCTATATTATTTCAAGCCCCGAAATTCAAATATAAAAGAAATATACTGCGGAGTTTCTAAAACCTGTAAGTCAGAATATCCCTGAAAAAAGAGCATTAAAATGTAAAAAGTAGGGATGGAGGCATGGTTAAAGTTGTAGGTCACCTGCCTTGCAAGCATAAAGCCCTGTGTTTAAACCCCAGTGCCGCCAAAGAAAATGTAAAAAGTTATTTAAAAAAACAATTCTACAATACACAAACCTAAACTACATATGAATTTGTAGTTAAAATACTTATTTTTAATACATTGACTTTAGAGGTGTGGACAAATTATAAAAATTAATGCAGATATTGCCTTTAAAAAGCTATAAGGCATAATTTGCTGAAAATTCAAAGTCTTGAAAGGAAACAAAATTGTGTCAAAGTTCATGAAAATTACCTCTAACTCTCCCCAGACAGTGATAAATGAAAATGCTGGAATGTACATATAAGTTTCCAAGTTGCTATATGATATACACCCAAAATTATAATCCACAAAAAACCAGTGGCAGTACATATTCCTTTCTGACCAGTTCCTATGAAGTGGGGCTTGTGGTGGCCATGGCACTTGTTCAGTACTCACTCCCAGAACACATGATCAGGGCTCAGTACAGATATGTTGAATAAATGTTTGTCTCATTTGTAATGCCTTTTCCTACCAATCCTGTGTGACTCAAGTCATAAATGTCATTATCTTTGGTGTTTTGTTTCATTAGCTAGTTAATCATCCAAAGATTTTTACATAAAAAGAGCCAAAGATTGAGAAATAAATCAGCTGTTTTTAATTTATATCAGCATTGTGTGTGTGTGTGTGTGTGTGTGTGTGTGTGTGTGTGTGTGTGTATGTGTGATGCTGGGGAGTCAAACCCAGGGCCTTTGGATGCTAGGCAGTGCTCTACCACTGAGCCATATCTCCAACCTATATCAGCTTTCTTGCAGTGCATGAGACTCTAGAAAAGATTTATATAATAAAATTCACAATTACATAAATTACATAAATATTAGGTAGGAATGACTAAAAACAGTTATGAATTTTACTACATAGATTTATCTATACATCTATATATGTAATTCTCACTGAATAAAAAAATCTTTAGTACTAGCTCCAATAATAATATTTAGTATGTAACATTTAAAATGTAATATGACATATATGTTCATTACATAATGTATTAAATAGAAGCTTATTGTGGGCTATAATTTCTTATTAAATTACTCCCAATTTTATTTTATGATATATAGTGCTTTTTAAAATGTTCTGTGGTTTGATCTTTCTATATTACATAATATATTGAACCATAGATGTAAGCATCAAACGACACATTTTTATATTCTGAAAATCCCTACAGATTTCAAATCCCTACCTTTGAAATTGTCCTTGAATGACTGGGGAGTGCCTGCCTAGCAAGCAAAATACCCTAAGTTCAAATCCCAGTACCACCAAAAACATTGTCCTTGACAATCTTATGTGTTAGACATAAATAATATGCTATTCAAATCTAAACTGAAAGATGAAACCATCTTTATTTTTTAAAAATTTTAATGTTTTAAATATCTGGATTCTTACTTCCCTTATTGTGTAAGAATGACAAATGGTTGGGATTTTTGTTTTTTTCTTGAGCCTCTCTCTAGTGACCTGGGCAGTTTGCATGGTTTGCCAGGAAACCACAGTCCCCCGATCTCTGCCAGAACCCCCCATGTGGTCACTGTCCTCAGACAGCTCCTGGAGCTCGTGGATAAGCACTGGAGTGGCTCTGGCTCCCTCCTTCTCAACAAGAAGTTTCTGGGTGAGTTCATGCATTCTGGGTGCTTGGGGGAAGGGCTGGATCTTGCTTCTGCTCTGTGGTCTGTTAAAAGCCACCTTGCCCCCTTAACTTGCAAGGAAAAGTGTTCTTGTATCTATTACCAAAACTTCTCAGAAACACCATCATTAATAAATCTGCATTTCTATCACATTCATCTTCTGTGTTTTTTTTAAATCAGCGCTCTTTCCAGTTGTTTTTGACCAATTGTTTTATTTCTCCTATAATGGTATATGTGTGTACTCACGTGCACACGCACATATGTGTGTATTTGTGTGTGTAGTCTTGGTAACATCTGGAATGACCAGATATTTGCAATAGAGAGTGGTCGTGCTAATAATTACAAAAAAGATTTTATGATCCTTAGAAAAGTACCAGTAATGAATGCAACAGAAATTAGGTTTGATCAACCCAGTTCTGAGATGACTGTTATAATGTTATGATTTTAAAAACTCATATGAGCTGGGCACTGGTGGCTCACACCTATAATCCTAGCTAAGCAGGAGGCAGAGATCAGGAAGATCACAGTTTGAAGCCAGCCTGGACAAATAGTTCTTGAGACCGATCTTGAAAATATCTAACACAAAAAAGGCTGGTGGAGTAGCTCAAGGTGTAGGCCCTGAGTTCAAGCCCCAGTACTGAAAAAAAAAAAAAATCATGAATGTCTTGGATTCTTTTGAGGGATTCATTTTTAGAAACATGAAGAAAAAACACTTTTGAAAATGTTGGCTCTGGGGGTGGGGGCAGGGGGGCGAAATGACCCAAGCCTTGTATGCACATATGAATAATAAAAGAAAAAAGAAAAAAAAAAAAAACAACAAAAAAGAAAATGTTGGCTCTTATATTTATTTGTTGTTTAATGAAAGAATTCAAGGAACTTTTACTTATTAGTAAAAGTTTAAGTAAAAACTAGATATTTGAAAGTTGTTTGTGACAGAATTTTTTTTATTATTATTTCAAAGGGCTGAGGTTGTAGTTCAGTGGTAAAGTGCTTGCCTAGCTTGTGTGAGACCTTAGGTTCCATCCTCCAGTAACAAAAAGAAAAATCTAAAAAGACACATGGAAGGAGAAATCATAGCCAAATTACTTTCCTTTCCATGTTGACCTGTTGCTCCCATTTTGTAGGAAATTATACCCTGGAGTCACTACTCAGTAATTCAAGCCTAACCCACTTGGGAGGGCTTAACACTTTTCTGCACAGAGAACTTAGGGTATAGTTCTTTATTCTATATAAAATAGCTTTCACAGCCACTTACTAAATTCTTATAAAAGGGAGATCCCATTATAGAGCAGATAGTTGTTGACTCATATGCCCATTCTGAATTTTTGGCAGGTCCTGCCCGAGATTTGCTTCTGTCTTTGGTTGTCCCTGGTCCTCCTCAGCAGTGGTGTCGCTGCCATCCTGAAGACTCTGGGAAAACCTTCCACAGGAGGGAGAGTGAACTGAAAGAGACTGGGCAGCTGGTCCCTAATGACATGGTATGACTCACTTTCCTTTCTTTCCTCCTCTTTCGTTACTAGAAAAGGACAGAGCAACAGGATTACAGCAGCACTGAGCCCTGGCATCACTGTGAACACTTTCCAAACTATGGAAAAGTCAGGCTGGACAAATCAGGAACACAAAACTTGTCAAGATGGAGACAACCTGGAGGTTCTATAGGGATCACTTTCTCCTCCAAGCCCAAATCTAAAAATCCTAAAGATGAAATGGGAAGGGAGGGGAAGCAAGCGAACAAAAAGCCTAGAGTGAATATGTTTAGGATCATGTTCTTGTTATGGTGTGATCCAGTGAGGGAAGCAGATGTCTCTGAGATTGTCTTTCCTCCTGTTTGATGAGCTGAGAGGGTAGAACCAGGGGCCATGCTAGAGCATCAGGTTGCTGGCTCTGGGAGAAGACAAAACTTGTAACCCCAAGCTTTTCTCTTTCTTAACGTTAGAGGATTTTCAAATTCAGTTCTAGAATCTTTAGATATATGACTCAGAATGCTAGCCACTTTTCAAAACCACCACTTGTTCCACAAGAGTCGTAGATAACCCACAAGAAAGATCCTGACTGCATATGGTAAATTGGTTTGCTACACTTGAGCTGCATTTAGATGAATTAAATGAATTAAACTTCTAGTGAGAGTAGTAGAGCATCTGCCTAACAAGTGTGAGGCCCTGAGTTCCAATCCCATAACACCACCATCAAAAAAAAAAATCTTCTAGTGAAAAAGTTCCACTGATGCTGACCTCTACTAATTAAAGGAAAAGATTCTATTAGTCCTCTAGAAGCACTCCTCAGGATTTCAGATTCTTAATGTGTTGGTGTTTTGTTTTCTGATCTAAAGGAAAGTTTGAAACAAAAACTGGTCAGAGTGCTGGAGGAAAACCTCATTTTGTCAGAAAAAGTTCAGCAGCTGGAGGAAGGTGCTGCCATCTCAATTGTGAATGGACACCCATCCCCCACACATGGTAAGTTTGAGAAAAACATCTGTGAGATGTCCCAAGACAACATATCACCTGTTTAATCAGCTTCATCATTCAAAGCTCTTTTGACGCCCTTTGGCTTACTCTGTCATTATTTTTTCTTGTGCATTAATGGAAACAATCAGCTTGCCTTAGAGAGTTGTTTGTTTATTTTTTAGTGATGCTGGGAATTGAACCAGACCTTGTGCATGCTAGACAAGTGCTCTAACACTGAGCTACATCACCAGCCCTTGCTGTGATGTAATGAGCTGTAATGCAGGTGCTTTGAGTTACCAGATGAAGCTCTTTGTCAGCAAAAAGCATGCATGCATGTTGTTATTGCCATTATTTTTGACAATGATATTTGTTTTTTGTGATTACAGCAGTAGAACATGTTCTCTGTAAAAAGTTAGAAAAATATGAGGAAAATACATCCCCATGACCCAGCAATAACTAATGCTAGTGTTTTGCTATGTTTTCTCTCAACTTACCTCCATACATGTATGTTTAACTCAGAATTTAAAATGGTGCCCTGATTCCTTAAAAAATAATTTGCACATATTTTTGGGTGTTTTTTTAGGGGGGTGGTACTGGGTTTTGAACTCAGGGCTGCATGCTTGCGAGGCAGGTTCTCTTACCGCTTGAGCCACTTCACCAGCCCTTGTGCATATTTTAAGTTTGATCCTAATCAAAATACAGAACAATTTTGTTACTCCAGAAAGTCCTTCATACTCTTGTGCAATCAGTTTCCCCCACTGTCCAGGCAATCACAGACCTGGTTTCTATATCCTAATGTTATTAACTTAACAACATTAATAGACCATATTTACCTACCTAGTTGCTTCTTTTTTTTGGGTGGTGGTACTGGGGTTTGAACTCAGGGCCTCATGCTATCTAGGCAGGTGCTCTGCCACTTGAGCCACTCTGCCAAACCCCCTAGTTGCTTCTAATGTTTGTTAAAACTGCCATTACTTATAATAGCATCTATATAAACATATGATAATAATATAAAGAGAATAAGAAAGGGCTGGAGATATGGCTCAAGTGGTAGGGCGCCTACTGAGATAGCATGAGGCTCTGAGTTTAATCACCAGTACTACCAAAAAAAGAGGATACAAGTAATTCTAGAGTTTCAGACACTCAAAAATGAAAGAATGGAATGCTTTTCTAAGATCACATTTCTTCCCTTCTTGATGGAACTGAGAGTACAAATATTTATACTATCATAAATAATGCTGCTATTGATATCTATATGCATATCAATATCTAGATACATAAATCTTTGTGTACATTTCAGACTGTTTTCCTAGGAGATGTTCCTAGAAGTAGAATTAGTGGGTCAAAAGATGTGGACATTTTTGAGGCTTTTCCTATACATTGACAAATCACTCCTGAGAAAGATGGTTTTGACTTACACTCAGAGCAGAAGTGCATTCAAATGTCCTTTTCACTCCACCTTTGCATACACTGAGAATTTTAAAAAATTTTGCCATTGTGATAAATGAAAAATAATTCCACATTTAATTCTTAATTATACTATTTTATTATTAGCATAGTTTAGGCCAGTATTTTAGATTAAGTCTTTCCTCAACTTAAATGTCTAGCTCATCTTCCCTAAGCAAATTACAGGTATTCAAATTGATACAAGGAACTTGGTTTGGAAGCACCAAATTTCCATTGTTAAATCTCAGTGCTGTCTAGTACAAGCCTGAAGAGTCAAAACATCAGTTTCCACTTCCCCACTTACCAACTCTGAAAATAAGGAGGTGTCCATACATTCCTTCCTTTCAATGGGCCATGAGGCCCTGTTTAGTATTTTGGCTTACTGGCGATAAGTATAGCAGTTGCAGCCCTTTTTTCCACTTTCCAGACTCTTGCTACTCAAAATGCGATCCATGCTAGCATCACCTGGAAGCTTTTTAGACAAGTATAATAATGGGCCTCTCCTCCGACCTACTGAATCAGAATCTATTTTTAAAAAGATCCCCAGGTGATTTGTAAGCAAATGAATGTTTGAGAAACATTATTCTAGGAGATCGGCTGCTTTAGGACCAGAGTTCTGTGCTTTTACATACCTCATTTTTGCATGCAGTGGTAGTGTATTTGGAGAGGTAGGTATGAGTGTCTTGGTTACAAATTCCATGTCTGCAAGCCCTTCCTCATTGAGTTATTACTATGTGCCTGACACAGTTCCAGATGTTTTCACAAACTATGGGGAGAGAGACCAAACCAAAATGGAGAATAAAGTGAAGACTCTTGTCTCACTGGATCCTCATAGTTAAGCTCAGAAAGATGAACTAACGTGCAATATTTGGTGCTTAAATTTTAATTAAAATCTGTTACCAAACTCTATATTCTTGCCAACATAACTCCTGTCTCTAAGGAGGGAATGGCGAATGGGTTGTGGAGGTGAGTGCCAGGGGACCCCCCATGCCCAAGATGTACATCTGAATACTTCAGCTCTTCTCAAAGATGAGTATCCTGGAATCCTCCTCATGCCTGGCTGCTATACCCTTTGTAGATGATCTTCTGCGCAAAAACCAACAGCTGACCATGCAGGTGGCTTGCCTGAACCAGGAACTTGCCCAGCTGAAAAAGCTGGAGAAGACAGTTGCCCTTCTTCACGAAAGTCAGAGGTAGGAGAAGATCTATCTAACTGACTCCTAGAAGCATGTGTTTACTTCCCATTATCTTTTCTGCTTTGCTTGAAAAGTTCACATCTATACTCTTTGCAAGTTAACTGCAGTCTGTGTGTGAGCAAACCTTCTATACCTGGCCAGTTAGTCCAGGGATCAAAGTACTACTTTAAGTACTGTTTTTACACACCAGAGGCTATATGCTTTGGCTGGAATTGGGGAGTTGCAACACCCCAATAGTTAGTTTTTCACAAGGTGTAACAGGACCTTTGGATCAACTAACTTTTTTGGTCACTATGTACCCCTAAAATCAGCCATCTGGCTCCTCTGGAAAATGCCTGCCTGCTATTGGTCACAAAAGACCATCAAGAACACTCAGAAGAGAGTGCTCGAGAAAGAATCCAAAGTATGTGTCCTCTTCAGAAGCACTCAATAGCGTCAGCTTCTTCACAGAGGAGCAACTCAGGATGCAGGCTGGGAGAAATGGGGATACCTTAAGGTCTGAAGACCATTGCCAGTTCTAGAAAGCCATTAAAAAAATTACTAGTGTATATTAATTGTGCAAAATAATGGCTTTCATGATATTTCGTTTTCTTCTAGGACATTCAGTGTTATTTAAATACAAGCACCCCACCACCCAAACTTTCAACCCCAAACTTCACCACTGATTTTCACTGGCATAGCTTTACATTTGGTGGATTAGCCCCAGACCCCTTCTGGATGACTTTTTTTTTTCATTGTAATTATTTCAAACTGTACAAAACTAAAGAGAATAGCATAAAGTTATGGTTCTCAAACTTGGGTCTGCATCAGAATGACTTGGAAGACTTGTTGAAATGCACATTGTTGGTCCCTGCCCCCAAATTTCTGATACCATAGTGTGTGCTGGGAACTGCGAATCTGTGTTTCTGATAAGGTTCCACGTGGTGTAGCTGCTGGTCCAGAGACCACATGCTGAGAACATTAGATAAGCTCTCTTTAGAAATGTGCACTCAAAGTACTGCATTTTACCTTAGCTTTAAACAGTTCTGTGTATTGCGAAACTATTGCCTTGGGATATAGGTTCATTTGTTGCATTTTGCTTCTCATTCTTAGGGAAATTTTTTATTATTTTGATTAAATCTTATTTGTATAGTTATGTAAAACCCTTATATGGTCCCAATATCTATCCTATAAAATAAGATAAATTCAGAAAAGTCTAGCTCCCTTTCCTATCTCCTCTATCCTTTTCTTCCTTCCTACTAACCTTCTTCTGGGGCTGTTGGTGTGTATTTGTATTTTCCCTTTATTACATAAAAAAGAAAAACAATATTGCTTTAACATTTTATCTTGTAAATCAATTCACAGTGTTCATAGACTTTGTTCTCATTCCTTTTATAGCTGCATAGTACTCCATTGTGTGGTTGTACAGTTTAATGAGTCCTCTGTTGACAGACATTTAGATTAACAGTGCAAATCACACATTTTTGTTTTGTTTTGTTTTTTGCATTGCTGGGTATTGAACCTAGAGCCTACCACTTGAGCCACATCCCCAGCCCTCATTTAGGTTAAGAGTATTTAGCTGCTAAAAGCAGGGGGATATAGAAGTGGTTCAGTGGTAAAGTGAGTGTTTAGCATGCATAAGGCCTTGGGCTCAATCCCCAGCACCCAAATTCCACAAACAAACACACAAATGTGTGAACGCTTTTAACATTACTTAGTAATGCAGAGTCCAAGAACGTAATCATGGTTCCCACCATTAGTTGCAGAGGTGAGAAGAAGCGGTGATTCAGGGGGAGGAATTAGAGGCCTGGTTAGAAGCCAGTGTCCTATTGCTTTAACTTACCTCATCATGGAAGTTCTTTGGAAACAAGAGAACAAGCACTCTATAAAATTGAAACATAATATTTGCTCCAGTCATTCTGGAACACAAACAGAACTGTAAAGAAAAACTGCAGGACTGCTTTTAAAATATCCCCCACACAAACTGGACAATTCTGTTGAAAGATGTTATTTTGTTTTACATTTGTCTTTAGCCAACATTTCAGACCTGAATGGCATCTACTTTGCTTTTGTGATTTCATGACTGCCTTTTCCCTCTGGGCCCCAGATCCCTGGTGGTGACTAATGAGTACCTGCTGCAGCAGCTGAATAGAGAGCAAAAAGGTTATTCTGGGAAAGCACTGCTGCCTCCTGAGAAGAGCCATCACTTGGGGAGATCGTCACCCTTTGGGAAAAGCACACTGTCTTCCTCCTCACCAATGGCACATGACACGGGTCAGTATCTAATACAGAGGGTCTCAGAAGCTGTCCCAGAGCCTAGTTTGTGGAGCTAGCACTGAACACCTTCACCGCCACCTCCCTCTCATCCACAGAGGGCTCTTGGTGCCATCGTCACAGTGTGGTGGTGTCTATCCCCCAAAGATAAAGAAAAAGCTTGTTCTGATTACATTGTATTGTCCTTCTTTTAGTTCTCTATTTATCTCCTCCCATCGGGTCATTTTTTCCCTTCTGCCCATAGAAATTGTTGGCACTTAGTCTTAGGCATCCTGTCACACAGAGACATTTGACTGAAAATGTCAAAAAGGAAAAAATACTGGACACTTATATTGTATCATCTGAAACTGTGTGATAGAAAGTTACAAAAGAACATCTATCAGGTGTCTTTTGTGTTAGAAGAAATTTTAGAGACTATATTGATTCACCAAACATGTTTGGCATTTCCTTGTACCATACTGAAGTATCTCTGCCCTGGATAAGCAATTTAGTCAGGAAAAAAAAACCAAAAAACCCAACTCATGTGATGGAGTTGAAACTTAGAATTGGTACCAAAGAGGAGAAAGATATTAGAGAGAGAGAAAGAAAAAAAAATCCCAGCATGGGGAAGGCCTCAGTGAGTTCTTGGTATGTGAATAGAAGCTGGCAGAAGATTCATATGGTAGCAGGAAGAAGGGATGCAGAGCTTCCCAGACAAGAAGTGCAAAATCTGGAGCCCCCAGAGGGATCATGAGACAGAGACAGAGGTGAGACATGGTGCCATAAAAGTATATAATGGGACCAGTCCTGGCCTGAGAAATTCTGTGTCAGAGGACATTCAACTGAGGCCTGAGAATAGGCAGAAGGTTGCTAGGCAAAGTGTAGGGGTGCGAGCAAGAGCAGTAGGAGAAGCTGCAGGGAGAAGCAGCACATGCACAGGCCATGAAGGGAGGGGACACGGTCCCTTCTGGATCCGAGGGTTGAGAAGAGGGCAGCAGGAGTATGGCTTCATGGCTCCTTGCAGATTTTCCATTGGGGGCAGAGGAGTGCGGGCCTGTGTTTAAGAGGCATCCTCTGTAAGAAGTGGTTGGTGTGGGGCATTGAAGTTCCACAGAGGAGCTGGACAGCAGAGAGGTGGCAGGGGCAGGCCCACCAGAGATGCAACTTCTATGTCGGCCTGGGCTCAGTGTCCTTTTACACATGGGACTCTGTATTCTTTTTTTTTTTTTTATTCATACGTGCATACAATGTTTGGGTCATTTCTCCCCCCATCCCTTACGTCCCCCCTTACCCCCCCCTTATCCCTCGCTACCCAGCAGAAACTATTTTGCCCTTATCTCTAATTTTGTTGAAGAGAGAGTATAAGCAATAATAGGAAGGAACAAGGGTTTTTGCTAGTTGAGATAAGGATAGCTATACAGGGAGTTGACTCGCATGTCAACTGTGCATGTGCGTTACCTTCTAAGTTAATTCTTCTTGAACTAACCTTTTCTCTAGTTGCTGGTCCCCTTCTCCTGTTGGCCTCAGTTGCTTTAAAGTATCTGCTTTAGTTTCTCTGCATTGAGGGCAACAAATGCTACCTAGTTTTTTAGGTGTCTTACCTATCCTCATACCTTCCTTGTGTGCTCTCGCTTTATCATGTGATCAAAGTCCAATCCCCTTGTTGTGTTTGCCCTTGATCTAATGTCTGTATATGAGGGAGAACATACGATTTTTGGTCTTTTGGGCCAGGCTAACCTCACTCAGAATGATGTTCTCCAATTCCATCCATTTACCTGTGAATGATAACATTTCGTTCTTCTTCATGGCTCCATAAAATTCCATTGTGTATAAATACCACATTTCTTAATCCATTCATCAGTGGTGGGGCATCTTGGCTGTTTCCATAACTTGGCTATTGTGAATAGTGCTCCAATAAACATGGGTGTGCAGGTGCCTCTGGAGTAACCTGTATCACATTCTTTTGGGTATATCCCCAAGAGTGATATTGCTGGATCACATGATAGATCAATGTTTAGATTTTTAAGTAGCCTCCAAATTTTTTTCCAGAGTGGTTGTACTAGTTTACACTCCCACCAGCAGTGTAAGAGGGTTCCTTTTTCCCTGCATCCTCGCCAACACCTGTCATTAGTGGTGTTACTAATGATGGCTATTCTGACGGGTGAGGTGGAACCTTAGTGTGATTTTATTGCTAGAGATGGTGAGCATTTTTTCATGTGTTTTTTGGCTATTTGAATTTCTTCTTTTGAGAAAGTTCTGTTTAGTTCACTTGCCCATTTCTTTATTGGTTCATTAATTTTGGGAGAATTTAGTTTTTTAAGTTCCCTATATATTCTGGTTATCAGTCCTTGACCCTGTATTCTTTAACCCTAACTGAGTGGGCATTTTCAGCTTCAGTGGGGAAGGAGTGCAATGGTTCTCCCAGGCACCCAACGTGGCTAGAGAGTGCAGAGGATAAAAGGCTGTCAGTCTAATGCCATGTCAGGGAGACAGGCTGGTGGAAGGGTTAGATCCTCATTTGTGTCCTGGCTCAGGTGCTGTGCAGGGAAGGAGACCTTTTGCCATACTAAGGAAAGAGATATCAAGGTCCCACACTTCTAAGTTTTACATAGGTTTATGTGGATTTTCTATGGCTTCCCAAGACGGTGCTGTACAGAGGAGCTATAAGTTTCTTTGCCCGTGGGCTCTGAGGAAGCTAGCATGAATTCATGCTCTGTGGACATTAACACAACAGCCTCTCTGCCTGCAACCTGCCACTTTCCTGGCAGTGTCCTTGTCTCATTGAGAGACCTCTAAAGAACCTAAACCTTGTCCAGGAATGGGGGGCATTGGCCACTGGTCATGTACCTTGAGTTGTCACATTTCAGTAACCCAACCTGGGGCATGGGCCAACCTATTGCACAGACTATTGGGGGGAAAATGCACTTCTTTCTATTGCCCTACCCCTTCCTGCCTCTGGAGTGAGCATTTGGTAGTGGCAGCCCCAGAATCTGCTCAGGGCACTTTAGGACCAAAGAACCTAACCCAGACTGAGTCACCTTCCATGCCATTTCCAGTTGTCATGGAAAGTAGCTTACTTTGGCTCGAGCCAGCACTTGGGCTTCCTGGAGAAGTTAACCCTGGGTCTGATTTTCCCTGTGTGACACTTAGTCCTGGGAGTGTGTGTAAGGGTTACAATGTCTAGGGACGAGCCAAAGAGTTGTGGAGTTAACTAGACCCAACAGGAGGACAGAAGAGCCCAGAAGCGAGTAGAAAACAAGTGGAGAGGTTCCTTACCCAAGGCCTGGCACTAGGAGGAAGAAGAAAACATGTCTGGGGTGGAGACAGTCCTCAGAAGTTCGGTGCCCAGAAAAAGGAGGAGGGCCCCCGACAGGCCTGGACTTCCCCCAGGTGTCATGGCAGCAGTTCAATGCTGCACCCCACATATCCCAGCCTCCCCTCCTTGCCAGCCTGGCTTTGTGAGGGAGGGAGCCCAAGGCTTTTGACCATAAGAAGAATGTTGGAAGGAGCATGATGCTGGGACAGCGGTGGCGTTGTTCGCCAGTGACCGACACATACCAGGTTCCATAGGATCCTTTGGGTCTCTAAGGGTCTTCTTGGCCCTGGGTGGGCCTAGAACTTCTTAGGCTCCATAAAGCTTTTCAAGGACAACGGGGGTTTTACTCCTACCAGGCAGTTTAGGGATCAGCCACTTCTCTGTCTGGGTTCCTCCAAGCCCGTCACAGGAGTGGACAGGCTGCTGCTCCTTCCATGCCAGGTAGTACCCTCCCCTGCAGTTTAGGTGCCAGGAGTGAGGCCCAGTTTGGATACAAGTAAACCTGCTCACTAAGAGGATCTTTCAGTAGGAGAAAGCCAAAAGGGTTTAGGTTTCCCATTATGTTCACTGAGATAAAGCTTCTCATTCAAACATTCCCCAAGGCTAGAGGGATCCTCTTAGATTCATCCCCAGGCAGTAGGATTGGTGGGCAACCTAGTGAGGAGAAACCAGACCAAAGGCAAAGAGTCTGCTGAGGCCAGGTGTGGACCTGTGCCTTCAGCTTCCCACTTGACCTTCTTGTGTCCCTGCCCCAGCCACACTATTCCTCTGCACCTTCCAGCCCCAAGTGGTTGGGATTAAGGGATTTGGGGTACTTGGGTGAACATACCAGAACAGCCTGTGGAATGAGTGAGAAAAATTGAGCTGCCTTGCCTTGTGTCTGGGTGAGGAAAATGAATGTTGGTTAGCATGTGCCTTTGCAACCTGCTCTAGCACCCCAGGAGCTACCTTTTCCTGGGTGAACCCTAAATCCAACCAGTCCCCTTGTCACAAGCAGGAAGGAAGTATAGTTGATGTCAAAGCCTTGCACTTGGGAATAGCTCTGGTCCAACAGCCAGGGCCTCAGAAAGTAGATGATCTGGGACCCCCAGGAGAAGTTCAAAGCCCACCCTCAGGAGCAGAGAGGCAATGGTGACCAGATGGGAAGAATCAGGAAGACGAGGCCCCTCACCGTGGGATGCCAGCCCCACTTTCAAGAATCAGTGTTGGGGCTTGCTGGCCCAGAGGCAAGAGGCATGGTCAGGACTCTTGCAGAAAACTGTTTTCCTCTCTGGGCCTCAGTTTATTCACCTATAATCAAGGAGTCAAACTGTGTACTAAGGTTCTTCCTGGCCCTGAGTTTTCACAGATTCTGGACTAGAGCACAAAATGACCTGCGTGGTAGCCCCCTACTGGCAGGGGTAGAGCCAAAGCCTAGCATGGGGCCCTCTGCCAATGCTTGGCTCAGGCCAAGTTTGCTGTCTCATCCCTCCTCCTGCTTTGCAAATGGAGGGGGACAAATCTGCAGGCTGTGGCCCTAGCTCCAGGATGCCAGGCTGTGATGTTAGTACTCTCCATCAGATACCAGTTAAAAGCTTTGCTTTCCCTAAAGGGAATTTTGGGCAGTCTGGTCTGTGCTAATGGAAGGGACTCGATGTCTGTTCAGGCAGGGCTGCCAGTGAGAAGGGTGTGTAGGCAGGAGGGTAATAATGATACTTAGGAGGGGGCAACTGGGGTATGACAGTCATCACCCCATCATCATATACCCAACCAGGCTATACTGGTACAAAAGGTGTCTTTATTGAGGTCTGGGTAAGAATTAGGCACTTGGCCAGAGCAGCAGCTTAAATATGAGGCAAGCAGACAGGGGTCAGCCATGCCCAGGGCCAGGCAGGGGTGGTGAGGGTATAGGCAGAGACTGTCCCCAGACAGAAGTCAGGGAAGCAAGAGGAGGAGGAAGGGAACACAGAGCAGTCTGGGTCAGAGGCCTGGTGGGCCGGCCCCCTGGGGCTGGGCAGGAAGCTCTGGGTGGCAGGTCCAGCAGGGAGGAGACCAGGCTTTTTTGCTCCACGTGCCCCTTAAGCCAAGGCCTGAGCCTCCAGCAGGGGCAGCCGCACTGGGGACCATCCCAGGCCTCACTTCTTCACCTTGGCATCATAAGTGCCTGCATTCTTGTAGGCACTCACATAGCCACTGTCGTCCAGGATGTCCTGCCGTCCAGCGATGCCCTTGCCCTTGCCGCTCTCATCAAAGCGCTCTTTGTGGGAGCCAGTGTACTTGCTGGTGTCAGTCAGCCGGTCCACAGCACCCCCTGTTTTTGCTTTCTGTTTGGACAGTTTCCCAGGGGCACCTGTGAGGGAGCCTGGCCCTTTCCCACCCCCAGCCGAGATTCCCCACATTCCCCTCCGTGGCCACTGAGACCAGTGGGGCACTTACAGTGACACCCAAGTTGGCTGGTTCCTTGCCCGCCACCAGCTGGCAGATGGCATCAAAGGCCTCTTCCTTGCTTTTCCCCTTGAACCGCTTGGTTGCCAGTTCTTCCAGGGCCTTCTTGAACTCTTCATAGTTAATGACCCGAGCAGACTTCCCCCTGCCAAGCATAAGGGCATCATGAAGCCAGTGCCCCTTCTCAGTGTCCTCCCTGTTTCCAGCCCCCAATTCCCCACTTTCTGGGAACATAAAAAGCAGGGCAGCCCAGGGCTCACTTGACTTTGGAGAAAACGATGTCAACGTCAGTCCCTGTCACAGCCTTTCCGTCAGCCACCTTGCAATCTTTGCACAGCTTGGCCCAGTTCTTGCCATTCATCTCTTGCCCACTGGCCTTGGGGTCGCCATGGATGGCAAATTTGCGGAAGCTCTCCTCCAGCCCAGCCACATCCGTGCTTGCTGCCATGCCACCCTGTGAGGACCCACCTGAGTCACCTCTCAGCCAAGCTGACCCTCCCCTCCCTCAGGCCCAGAACATCCCTGCCTCCACCTCAAAATATGCAAGCTCTGAGTTGGCAGCACTTCTGCTACAGACCCTCAGAGGCAGAGCTGGCTGCCATGGATAGAGGAGCCAGTGCTCAGTGTCTTCTTGGCCCCCCAGAGCCCAAGGAAGAGCCTTTGGCAGAAAGGTCTTGTTGCTTAGTGCCAGCCTGGCTCTGAGTAGGGCTCAGAAGATGAAATCATGATGCACACATCAGTCTGGGAACAGAATGGCACTGTCCAGAAAGCCTGTGCAGGCAGCAGCTGGGGCCATGGCTTTGTCTGATCCTGGCACAAAGCCTGCTTTGGGTGGAAGTGAGGGTGGCAGGGCAGGTCCCCCACTCTCTGGAAGCGCCACACCAAACTGGGTCAGTGCCAGGCCAGGCTGTGGTGGGCAAGTATGGAGTGAGGACAGTGTCTCTGTAAGGGTCATGAAGAACCAGCAAGACCCAGCCCAGGCCTGAGAAAAGAGTAGGAGCAAGGGCAGGAGTGCAGCTCTAGGCAGGGGTGCAGCTGGCCCAGCCCAGGCCTTGTTACTATTTGCTGTTAAACAAAAACATGAGGGGAGCAGAGCTCGGGGCTGGCCTGGCCACAGTTTGTGAAGCCTGGAGACAGTTGCTAAGGGAGGGTGGTGCTGCTTGGAGAATGTTGCTAAGGGCAGGATGGTGTCAGGGCAGCTCAGAGAGAAGCTCCCAGTGCTGCTGGGCTGGGCTGGGCTGGGCTGGGCTGGGCTAGGGAGCAGGGGCCCACGGGTGGGGCATGCCAGCACTCCCTGTGCCTAGGGCACAACTGTGGCTTCCTGGCCTCTTGCCACCTATTGGGGCTATAGCTCCCAGTGTGTGGTATTTAGAGGGAGCAGGAGACTGGGGGAAACCTGAGTCGGGGTGTAAAGTAACCAGCCCCCAGAAGTCCCCCCATATTGCCAAGTGGGACCATGGCCTTGGTGCATGATTCTCCCCTAAAGCACCCATCCTCCTGTCTACGCCTCAGCCCTCCATCAAGGTCCCTTTGCCACACCCTGAGCACAGCCGTATTGGTCCACATCCCCACAACTCATGCACTCAGCCCTGGCTCTCCACACCCTCAGCCTAGACCCCTGACCACACCTGCAGCTCTGCACTGCGGCCTCCTCCATCCATACTCACAGCCCTGGGACAGGGCCTGACCCTTCCCTCAGCTTCCACACCACCACAGACTAACGGGCTGCACTGAGACCCCCACCCCAGTATGCACTAAAGTGTTCCACACACCCATAGCCCTCCACTGCAGTTCCCTGGCCACACCCTCAGCCTCAGCCCTGAAACTCCCTCCACCAAACCCAGTCCTGTACTAGGCCTCCCTGCAACCCCTGCAACCCCTACTGCAACCTCCCCATCCATACCCTGCAAGACCCCCTGACCACAGACTCAGCAACCAGACCCCCTCATTCACAACCTTTTGTTCACATGACAACCCTAACCCTAACCCACACAGTGGCATTTCCAGGTTCCCAGGCACTATGTTGAGACCCCCTGACCCCACACTACCACTGCAGCCTACTGACCACACCCTCAGTCTCCGTCACCATCTTTAGCTTGGCCTCTTATTCAGAACCTCCAGTGACCACAGCAAGAGCCTCTGCCCAGCTTCCCCTTCTTCCACCACACTGGTCTTGACACTGAAAGCCCCTTCCTAGTGACCACATGGGCTCATCTTTAATGAAGTTTCTGGGACTGAACTCCCAGAGTCCCTACACTGTAGGAACCACAGCCTAGTGGTACTTCACTCTCCTCCCCTCTCTCCAGGAGCAACCGCCCAGCAGGGACCCAAAGCCCTACAATTGGTTCCCAAGGGTAATAATGTCCAGGGAAGCTTGTGTGACCCAGGACGCTCGTCCCGAGAGCCTGGGAGGATCCTGCATGCAGTGCCCACTCCTGTCTGTGGGAAGATGGATTATTGGTAAGCGCGGGGCTTGTTCAGGTGGAGCAGAATCACAGGCTGTGGTCCCGGGGTCTGCAGGCCTTGGATGGAGTGGCCACGCCCCTGAACTGGGGCCACCCGACCGCTCCCGCTGGGACAGCTGGAGTCATCAATCAGCGAGTAAGGAAGTGGGGGCTGGGGGGTGGAACGCTTGGGGCCAAGGCAGGGCCGCTCAGCTGGTGTCCTAATCCGTCCAGAGTTAGGAAACCCTTCAGGCCGCTCCCACCCACCCCTCCTTGCGCAAGATACTGGTTAGGGTGGTCGGCGTCCGGGTCTCCTACCGGCTTTCTATCTCGTGGCTGCTCCTGCAGCGCGCGATCGGATGGACAGGACACCAGAATGGACCGACAAATGCGAGAGACCAGGCGGCTCCGCAGCTCCGCTCCCTGCCGGCTCCCGGGTGGGACTGCAGCCTGGGCGGCTCCGCAATATTATCCCCTGTTTCTCGGTCTCCATAGAGACAGCGAGTCCCACCCCCGAAGCTGTCTCGGCGGGAGAATGACCAAGGTCACGCTGTCTCCGCCCACCAGACACCGCCCTCTTGGCGCTCCAGGCTCTGCGCCCGCGGAGCTCGAGCTCCAGCCGTATCCCGCCCCTCCCCCGCAGCTCCGCGGGCTTCGCACTGTGACAACAGCCCTCTACATTTCTAGACGTCCCTCAAGAGCCCCCTGACGGGAAAATAGCCCCCCAAAATTCAAGTGGGCCCCCAACCTCTAGGGGCGATACAGCTTTCCAGAGCGCCAACCAGAGGCCGTTTGGGAGCTACAGTGACGGTCTCCTCCTTCAGTGACAATCTACAGCTGACTGAAGACCACAGCTACCACTGAACGTGTGGTATCCCCAAACTCAAATCCACGTTCTTCCGAGCAGGGACAAGATCCGAGCAGTGGTGGAGGAAAGAACAATGAGCAAATCACGCTTGCCTAGCCCTAGAATGCTGCACCTAGAACGCGGGTGTTCAGACTGCAATCCTGAGGCGGGGAGAAAGCTCTTGGATCCCAGGGGTCGGCGGCCTCCTTCCATTTCCACCTCGCTTCCTCCCGCTGCCTGCCTCCCCCTCAGTCTCCAAGTGCAAATTCTATCTTTAAGAAAAATAACCTGTTTAGATTTGGAAATTTGAACAGTTGTTGCATTACATACTTTCGCTTTTTTATTGAAAATTTTAAATCAGAAAAAAATAAATAACCTAACGGCGTGGGTGCACGCCTGTAAACCCAGCACGGGGGAGACGGGGCTTGAAGCAGGAAGATCGAGAGTTCAAGGCCAGTCTGCGCTACATAATGAGACCATTTCAGAAAAGAAAACCTCCTTCGAGGAGCTTTCCAGGGCCTTTTCTAAACACAAGCCCCTTACTGAGCACCATGGGTCCTCGTGCATCTCCAAATGACAATCCGGGCAGCGACAGCCACCTGCTGATATAGGGATCCACCCCACCCTCTGCCCCGAGACAGACAATGGTTCCACTCCCAGAATGCCATTAAGAAAGTAAGCACTAAATCCGCAAAAGCATAAAAAATTTTATTAGAGCATCAGGGCCGGTGGGGCGGATATTGCTGAATCGTGGACGAGGAGGGCCGATCCCGCCGGCCGTGGGGCCCTTAAAGTGCACTCGGTGCGGCGAGGGTGGGGGTGTTGCATAGAGAATCGGGCTGGCCGCTCTTTGGCCCGGTTAAGGCAGGCCGCCTTCCCGCCCGCCCGGCGTCCCGGGCTCACCGCTGCTCGGGCTCACGAAAATAGCAGGCGCACGCGCCTGCAGCGCCAAGCCAGACTCTCTGCCCCTGCTCCCCAGAGCGCCCAGGGCGGCGCTGCCCAGGCGCGTCTGCGCCACTGGAATCTCGTCCACGGACTCGGCTAATGCCGAGTGGTAGGCGCCTGCAGCGCCAGCGGCGTGCACAGAGCTGGCGGAATCGATCGAGGAGCTGGAGCTGCGGCCTGGGGCCCGGGGCCCTGCACAGTGGAGGAAAACTTGAGACCAGGAGCTGCCGCTTGAGGATGTCTTTCCCTCCCTCCGAGCTCCTGAAGTGGGACCCAGACAAGGATGGGCGCTCACCCCGAAGCCTAGGCAGCGGAGACTCCCGGCTCAAGATCCCAGACCTTGGCAACTTATACAAACGCCGCTTCCTCTTTTTCTGCAGAGACAGAGGGGAGTATGAGGGCCACTTCCCCAGAAGCAGCAAAGTGTGCAGCAAGGCAGACTTCTTTGCCTTCTCCCAACACTGGGCAGAGAATCAAGCCAGTCCTCCTACCTGGGGTCGGATCTGGGGAGGCAGGGCAAGAGTGTCTGGGGAGGAGGCCCGTGGAGGCTGCACTTGGTCTTGGGTGGCAAGAAACTGGGAGGGGCTGAGGGAAAACAAGAAGGCAATTTCTAGGTGCTGTTCTCCAAATACATCCCTCCTCACTGAAGGTCCCTTCTTAGCAGAGGCACTGATCCATCCAAAGCATTGCTGGGCTGCAGTCAGACCCATACTTTGACCTTAGCCTAGGTCTTCTGCCCACCTCCCATGGCCCTGCCATGCTAATGGAAGATATCCAGGTGACACTCACTTGGTGTTTACTGCTGCTGGCCTGGCCTGGCCAGGGGGCTCTGGGCGCACATGACTGAAGGTCCTCATGTAGAATTCCATCTCCTGGGAAAGGTGGGGGTCAAGCAGGCTGGAAGGCTAGGTGTGGATCCAGGGCCTTCTGAGACCTGGGCCCACCCAGTCCTGAACAACACTGGCTCTCACTGGCCTCTGTGGGAGGTCACAGGCCTCACCCATCTAGGGCTCTCTTCCTCTTTGTAGGATGAGGCTTAAAACACCTACTTCTAGATTTTACTCCATCCCCAGGTCTTACTTCATCTACTCAAAGTCCACCTACAGGAAGAAGCTGTGGCCCCATGGGTCCAATACCAGACTAAAACTGCCCAGCCAGCTGGCTTGTAGGGAAAGGCGCTCAGAGAAGCCTTCTCCTGCTCCCAGCCCCATTCCAAGGCTCCAGCCTCTGAACCAATTCTTTCCCTGGTGGGGAAACCACGCAGCTGCTCACAGGCCCGGGTGTGCACCAGAAATTGTGAGTGCTGCTCCCCTGCTTCAGCAAAGCGTAGTTCTGGGTGTATGCCTCATCCTCAGAGTACCAGCCCAGGCTACTGGGAAGGGACTGGGTTCTCTGGGTCTCTGCTGCTCCTACCCAGGAAAGGGAAGCCAGTGGGTGATGGAACAAACAGTGCTGCAACCCCCATCAGGAACCTCACAATGAACCTGGGGGCCACAGTTGCACCCCCAAAAGCAAAAAGGTATTAAGGCAGGGAGGTGGCTTAAGTGACCACGCCTGCACCGCTGCAAGCGCCCCCAGCTATGCCTGCAAGGACTGCAGGTGAGGAAACAAAAGCCAGGAGTCAGCCTGGGAAGGGCGTGGTGGGAGGGTGAGGGGCGGGGCCTGAGCAGCAAGCTGTGGGGAGCACCAAGACAGCTGTCGCCTGCTCCACTGCCATTTCCATGGAGACCCAGGCATCCTGACTAATGCAGAGATGATACTGTAACAGCAATGCTGTCTCTAAAACAAGCCTGTGTTTGGGGGCAACAGCTCTAGAGTGGGCCCCTCCCACATTCCTCCTGGGTGGAGTGGGGAGCTGCCTGCTGGGGCCCTGGGAGATCTGGGGGACAGAGCCCAGCTGGCTCACTAGTTGGCTGCACAGGTGCAAAGTCCTAGGCCCCAGGAAAGGCCTATGGCCAACCTCCAGCCAGGCTGACCCTTTGGAGAAAAGTGAGCAGGGGGTGCCTACTTAAGCAGAGGAGCCTAGGGTCAGGAGTCAGAGGCCAGTCCCAAGACTGAGACCTGAAGGTAATCCTCCCTCTCATCTTTCCCCTTCCAGTATGGACTTAGCTCCCTCCACAGCCCAGTTGAGAGTGACAAAGCCTACCATGGGATTCTGAGCTCCAGGATGGGCTAGGAGCCAGGCCCTAGCCAGCTGGAATTGTCACCAGGAGGTTCCCACTGAGACTTCCCTCCTCTCCTCTGCCATCCCTAAGGATACTCTCTCAGAGACCTTCAGACATTTTCCCATTCCTGAATGGTACCTTGGCACCTCTCAGTCTCCTCTGTAAAAGGAGACAAGCACCCAGTCCTACTGGGTAAAGACTCCATCAAGTCATTTGTAGCTGGACAGAACAGAAATTAAATTTGGCCCAAAGCCTGAGCAGGGCAAAGGCACAGGCTCTGGAGTCTGGACACCGCACTATCAGCCTCAGTGGTCCTCCCCAGCATGGCTGCCACTGTATTTACACAGGCCGGTGCCTAACACCAGGCCAGGTATAGGGTGGTATGGCAGGAGATCTCTAAGCCTGACCATGAGAAGGGGAGAGGCAGGGTCCCAAACCCTCTTTTAATGACCCACCAGACTGTGTTTGTGTCCAGTTGCCATAGGGATTCAGGAGTCAGGGCTTGGCCTTCCCAGCAAAGCCTGCCTGGGCCCCCTGCCTTCCCAGTCCCTAGGGGTTCTGAGGACTGGACCACCTCCACCCCCAGCTGCTGACCACAGGAAGCCATGGGGCGTGGGAATGGGGATAGGCTGGTAAGCAGCTGGGCTGGCCAGGCCACAGCCTAGGATGGACAGTTCCTGCTTTGGAGACCTTAACTCTTTCCAGACCCAGTTTCTGTTTAATTTTTCTAGGCCCCAGTGTGCTCATCTGTGACAGGTTGGTAAGTACCTACCTCCGGACCTGTTCAAAAAATAAAATAGGGTAATGGGTACAAGGGGTCAAAGTTACTGATGAAGAGAACTTATAGCTCCAGCCCAACCACCCAGTCATTGGCTGAGTTGTTGCTCCATCCCTCTTTTACAGTTTCAACCTGCGTACTTCAGAACTTCATGTTTCACTCCCTCCAACACAAGCCTGAAGCCTGGACTGGCATGTACCTGGAGTTGCAGAAATGCTGGGCTCCTTCTAGCTGTGCTAGTGGACATGTACCTAGTACTGGCCTGGCTCTGCTGCCCCAGCATGTCCTACTCCCAGGGGATATTCCAGGCTTCCCACGCCAGTCTCCTTACTGGCTTTTTTTTTTTTTTTTTGATGAGACTGGGGTTTGAGTTCAGGGCTTCACATTTGCAAAGCAGGTGTTCTACTGAGCCACACCTCTAGTCCATTTTGCTCAAGTTGTTTTGGAGAGAGGTTCCCGTGAACTATTTGCCCAGGCTGGCCTCAAACTTCAATCCTCCCAATCCCAGTCTCCCAAGTAGTTAGGAGACTGAATAACCAGTACCCAGCTCCTTACTGGCAATTGATGCAGAACCCCCACCCCACAAATACACATATACACACCCAGAGTCATCCCACCCCTCAGCCTTTTGAGCCATCTCTATACCTGAATGGGCCGCATCTTGGAGGGACATGACTCGAGCTTCTTGTGGGCCCCCTTTGCTTCCTGTGGTGGACGGTGCTGCACGATGTACTCATAGGTAGTGAGCTTGTGCCACACTGGTGGGAGGGAAGGGAAGGCTCAGCAGTAGAGAGGGGAGCCTGGAGCTCAGAAGGGAGGAAGGGCACTCAGCACCAGGCTCAAACCATCTATACTATGCCATGGAGTGAGACCAGGCCACCACAAAGGGCCAGCACTGGTAAAGGTCATGATTTCAAGGTTGTAGCCCAATGAGGTACCTTCCTGCAAGACAGGTGTTGGGGTAGCTACTTACTGAGATAAATGTGGAAGCAGAGCAGGTGGCCAAGCAGGGCTGTGGAGAGCAAACCCAGAAGGATAAGTAGGGCAGCCAGGGCCAAGATGGCAGGAGCCTGGGTCTCCACAGGGGCAGCGGGCAAGAACACAAACCACACATCCGTGTGATTCTTCAGTACTGCAAGGCACAGATAGACAGTGCTCAACCAGGGCCTGGACCAGTAACCACAACAAGCCCAGGGTTATGGCAGGGAAGTGGGACTACAACCCAAACTGACCTTCAAAGTGCTGGTTGGTGCGCAGCCTCATGGGGTTGACAAAGAACTCCACGAAGACATAAGTGGCCACAAGCACCAGGAGCAAGACACCCAGTAAAGCAGATGCCACGCTGTGTAGAAAGAGTCTGGCCCAGCCATGTGCAGCTGTCAGTACCCCAGCGCTCCAGCTTGGTAAGAGCCAGTAGCTCAAAGGGACCCATAGTGGGGATGGGGAACTCCAGCCCTGACCCCACGGTACCAGTTCCTCAGAAGCCAAAGTCAGGGAGCAAAACTGAAAATAGGAGACCACCCTCGGTCTCCCCACCTTACTCTGGGCCAGCAAGACGAAAGATCCCACCCCTGCCCTCAGTGGTCCCAGCCCTCACCCCAGACACATCACCCTCTCAGAGCAGCACACACGAGTGCACACCAGTGCCCAGGTCCCCTCACTGCCTTACAAGCAGACTACTACAATAGGACCCGGGGCCCACCGCGTGTATCCCCAGGCCACAGACGCCCACTCGCTCTCACCGGTAGTTCCTCTCGCCCACGCAGTTGTTGAGCCACTTGCAGTGGTGATCGAAGCCGCACACGCACTTGTTGCAGGCGCTGCAGTGCTTGGAGCGAGCACTCCTGCGGGCGTAATGCACCGAGTGGTGGGCCGACCCATCCCGCTCTTCGTGGCCGCCAAAGGCGGCGGAGTCAGTTTCGCAACCCCAGCACCAGCCCCGGAGCCCAGTTACACACCGGGAACCACCACCCCAGAGCACCGCGATGAGGAGCGCGCGCGCCCTCTGGTGGACCCGCGGGGTGGGACCCCAGGGAGAGGCGGCGCTTCCAAAGAGCTGAGGGACTGGACCGAGGAAGCGCGAAAAGGGGGCGCCGGTGCATCGTGGGGTCTTGCGGTGGGACTGCGTACCTACGTGATGGTCATAAAAAACTGAAAAGGGGCTTCCTTTCTAGGCAAGAACCCCTGCGCTTAGGCCAGATCTGGTGTGGGGCCCGGGAACAAGAGCAAGGCTGCCGGGACTATGGCCTGCATTGTTCTTCCTGACAGCTCCACTTTGGGGTTGGCTTCCTTGCCATTCTAGAGGAATCTTCCTGGCATTTTTCCAAGAAGATTTGTTTGTGTGGGCTAATCAGAAGGGAACCAAGAAAAAAAAGGGAGGGGGAGCCAAAAGGAGAGGAGTAAACTGCCATCTGGGTGGGCATTAACAGAACTCTCGGCAAAGAGCAGGTGAGGGAAGGCCGTATTAGGATGCAAGTGGCCATCCCCAGGAGGCACCAGCGAAGGCCCAAGGGAGTGTGGAGGAGTAGGGTACGACCCCTTCCCCAAAACAGGACAGACACAGACCCTACAATGGAATGAAACTGCCAGCACAGCCACTCAGAAACATGCTGGCTGGTATGTAGGAAATAACAGGATGGCTTCTGCCAAGTCCTCAGCACCTCAATGCTGTGAGCTTCTCCTACTGCGGACAGACCGTTTTAGCAGACTGACTGGGTCTTCAGATTCCAAGTGTGGAGCTGGCCTTGGGCCATACCCCATCTCTCATCCCCCACCTGAGGCTGGGAGAATGGGAGGCTCCAAGGGTAGGGAAGTGCCTTAGGAGAGAAGCATTGGAACCAGACAGGGGAGGATGGGTGCACCACATTCTGACTCCATGCCTCCCTATCACTGTGACTTGCAACAAGCCCTCTGTAGGCCTCAAACTTATGGGTAACTGAAGGGCAAAGAATCAGCCCAGGGACCAGGCAACTGGAGTTATGCTCAGCAGCTATGTGACTTTGGACTACCTCCCAGCTTTCTGAGCGATGGGGGCTCTTCCCATTCTGTAAAAAGCTGCTGCTGCCCACCTGGCAGAGGGCTGTACATGGTACTTAGCATTACTCAAGTGTTAATTCTCCTCCTGCACTTATCTGGGTGCTTGAGGTGGTGAATGCCACTGGCAGAGTTGGTCATTTAGAAATGTTATAGCAGTGCCAAATGTTTCCTATTTTTTATTCTTCATCTACTTCCAATCACCTTTTCCTCACCTTCTCAAGGACACAGTTCCTGGCCATTCCACCAAGACTCTTGACTATGTAAAACACAAGGGTTCTGAGGCATCAGGATAACTGTGAAGCCCTTGCATGCCCTCTCCACCCTGAACCCCACCATAGACCCACAGGCACACGCATGGCCCACGTATACCATGCACTCAAACATACACATGCCCATACGCAGTCACACACTCACACATCCACGTCGCACAGGTTACAGTGCAGATCTTCAATGACATGTGCGTGCTGGCTGCGGCTGAAGGTGGGCAAGGGCCCTGAGTAGCTCCTGTCCCGCACGTTGGCATCTGCTGGATCAATGGAGACTGCAGTCAGGTGTACCACAAGGTGGCAGGCAAAGATGGCACCCATGCACTGGCCCAGTAGGTTAAAGACTCACTCCACACTCTGCAGGTGGGAACCCTGCCCACTTTCTGTGGGCACGGAACTTCTCACCTCCATGCCAATTCCCTTTGTGCAAAGGCTGCCTGTGCCCCCTCCTGCCTCCAGCCCCCATCCCAAAGAGCCTCCTCACCAGCCCTCTTCAATGAACCCCAGAGTACCAAATGGAAGAAGGGACATCTGGTAACAAAGCTCACAAGTTAGCACTGCCTGTTGCTGCCACCACCATGGGGCCTTGGCCCCACCATTTCAGGTGGTACAAGCCCTGGTACAAGCCCTGGCTGGTCTGACCTCAGGCCAGTTTCTGGTTTCAGATTCCAGAAGGTAAAGTGAGAATGAAAGACATCATCCCCTAAGGTTAGGGAACTGAGGTTTAAGTTCTGAGCTTGTTTGTCTTGCTTTCACAGGTCAGCTACAAGAAGGAAGCAGCCATCCCCTTTCAGCAGCTGGGGCCAGATGGAGAATCACTCACAGACAAGAGCTCATCCACTACCTCCCCTACCTGGAGTCCAGGCACTTGGAGCTCTGAACTGAGTGTCTGCAATGGCCTGACATTTTCAGGGCCTAGCCATACGCAGCACGACTAACTCCTGAAGCTGAAACAAAGTTCTTCTAGGACCTAGGTGCTCAGTACTGAGCCAAACGCAGGGGATGAGTATGCTGACAACTTGCTGCATAGTCTGTGTAAAAATTCACCCTTAGATTCCACCCAAGCAGCCATCTGTCCTCTCATCCTCCTTCCATCCATCCTCTTGCTAGCCAGGCAGACATCATTCCTCCATCATCAGGCCCCCATCCATCATTTACCCTTCATCCTTCACCCATCAACTGTTCAACATCCTTTCCTTCCCATTTCCAGCAACCAAACTGCTCTGTATGTCTGCATGAGCCAGGCTCTGCCCTAATGTGCTGTACCATACCTAAAAGACAAACCTGTAGCCACCACTGACTTCTCTATCCCTATGTCCACTGCCACCAGTCAGGCCTTCACCTCCTGCCTGGGTCACCTGAGAGCCTCTGACTCTGCCCATTTAGTGTGTGTTCCCTGGAGTCCACCCCCCACATGGCTGAGGAGTGAGTTTTACAAAGTTTAAACCTAAGGCCTTCCCTGCTTAAACCCCTACAGTGACTTTCAATGGCTCTCCAGTTGAAGTTTATGCCTCAGCTCAGAGTCAAGGCTCCTTTTGCTCTGGGCTCCTCCTAAACCCCTCTTGTACCACCAGCTACTGTATCTCCATCCCAGCCTCTCTTAGACACTCAATGTGGGCAAACATTTAGCTTCTGCTTGTTCCTACTCTTATCCCACCCACCCACTGGTTCATGTTTTTGACTATTTACTGAGGTCTTTCTTTGGACCAGGCACTGAGGAATATGGAAGACTTGGTCCCTAACCCCAAGAAGCCTACAGTCTGGTGGAAAATAGAGATATTAATCAAATAACAGGCTAATTACAAAGAGGCAACTCATGGTAGTATTCAAGTTTGTAACTGACCAACCTCATCTATACTGAAGGGGTTGGGAAGGCTTCTCTGAGGAAGTTGTCATCTCCGCTGAGACTTGGATGGGAATGGTTAACAGGGCTCTGGCAGGTCATGTAGTAGAAAGGAGGCCAAGCTGGATACTGTATGTACTCAGAACACACAAGGTACCAACCAGAGGGGTAGCTGATGTGTGATCCCGGTTCATGACTACTGTACAAGAGTGGGGAACCATGCTGCCAAATTCCAGCTTGTCAAAATGAACTAGAAGCCAGGTGCTGGTGGCTCATGCCTGTAATCCTAGCTACTTGAGAGGGTGAAATTGGGAAGATCGTGGTATAAGGCCAGCCTAGGCAAATAGTTTGTTAAGGCTCCATCTCCAAAATAACCAGGGCAAAATGGACTGGAGGTGTGGTTCAAGTGGTAGAACACCTGCTTTGTAAGCCCTGAGTTCAAACTCCAGTCCTGCAAAAAAAAAAAAAAAAAAAGGAACTAGAAATCAGGCTTTGATGTGAGATCTCTTTCAATGTTTAAATGTTAAAGAAATAAACAATTTTCAAAATATATCTGTAGAGGAGATCTGTTCACTTTGTATGTTAATTACCCCTCAAATTTTACAAAATTTGCAGGCCAGATTGGTCCATAAGCTGATAGTTTTTGGCTTCTGACTCAGCTGGGTGTGGGGATAGAGAGAATGACAAACGGCTTCCAGGCAGAGACTGGTGTGTTGAAACAGAGAATGGGGATAACATAAGAGGAAGCGGGGCAGACAGGCAGAGTCCAGATGGGGAGAGCCTTGAACCTCATTCCTTGAGGTAGAAGAAGCCACTACAGGGTTTTGAGCTGGTAAAACATTATCCAGATTTAGGATTTTTATTTTGGTTTGATATTTGGTGGTACTGGGGTTTGAACTCAGGACTTGGTGCTTACTAGGTAGGTGCTCTACTGCTTAAGCTACAGTAACCCAAATTTAGGGTTTTTGGAAAGCTACTCTGGCTACAGGGATGCAGATGGCTAGGAGTGAGGGTGCACAGAGGAAAGTTACTTGGAAACTAAATGCCCATCTAGATCAGAAAGGCAGATGGCAGTGGGAAAGGAAAGGGGCAAAACTGATAGCTATTAAGGAGGTTAAATCAATAAGACTTGAGGCCTACCTAATTGTTATCAGCAGTGGAGGAAAGGGGAGGAGCCAAGAGAGACAAGGTGGGGAGAAACAAAGTCAAGGGAAAAAGGGGAGCTGGAAGCAGCAGGTGTGACACTGCTATAGATGGCCTCCTTCTGTTCCCACAGTCTTCTGTCTGAACCCCTACCCTACACTTACCATGGAGTATTACCACCATGTCCAAACTACCAGCTTTCCACTGAGCACCCAGAGTTCATCTTTCCATCCCTACGGCCCAGGCTAGTTCCAGGGACCTGGAACACACCATTATCCCACCTCATTCTTCAGGGACCCTGAAAGAACCTACAGAAAGGAAAAGACTTTGATGGAGCCACATAGCCCTGGTCAGGGTGCCAGACCTCCACATGGCCCAAAGTGATGGACAATGAATGTGGGGAAGACCAAGTCCTCAAACCATCTCATTTCCTCAGTCTAAGGGTTACCTAAGCAGCACTTCTAGCCTCACTGGGCACCAGCTATGTGACCTTAGAAAGTCCTATCTGAGCCCATTTCTTCATTAATAAAATGGGGAGATTATCTTCCTTGACTGACACATGTAAGTGCTCAATAAATGTTATTTTCTCTGATACTACCTACTCCAAACCATGTAGTTATTAATCTGGTTTCCCAGGTACCTTGATGGCAGAAATCCAGGTAATTCCAAGTAAAGGACAAAACCACTCCAGGTCACAGGAGGAGTGTCCCATCAAGCATTCTGTTTAATTGTACTATGGCCTGTCGGTTACCTAAGGAAAAGACTTTCCATAGAGCTGTTTTTGGCTAGGCCCTGGGCTCTAGTGAACCAGGAAGCCCCTCAAGTGACACTGCTGGTATCTGAGGATGATAGCCTTCTTTAGAGTCCCTTCCCCCAGGGAAGCAAGCAAAAACCATTCCCACCAGATGGAGGAGACTGAGACTTAGAGAGCTGGAAAAGCTGCTCATTCATGTGTAGCCCTGAAGGGGTTGAGCTGGGACCATGCTTAGCTGCCGACTCTATGCCCTGGGCTCTCAAGCTTACCCCTGTCTCCCTTCCCCCAGGAATCTTCATGAAGCACCTGCCAAGACACTCTCATAGAATTCTGGACAGGGGCACACAAAGACCTGCTGCCTTCAGGCCTCTGGCCTTGCAGCCACATCCTCTGCTCCTGGGAGTTATAGGCAGAACTGGGAAATCACACCATTAGGCTCAGGCAAGTCCATGTTTGTCACTGTTCCCAGGTGCTTATAAGGGCATCTCTATGCCATCTCTTGTCACATTTAGCCCCATCCTAAAATGGTCTGATTTAAAAAAAAAAAAATCAGTGTGCTTAGCACAGTGGCTCATGCCTGTAATACTAGCTACTTGGGAGGCTGAGATCAGGAGGATTGCAGTTCAAGGCCAGCTTGGGCAAATAGTTCATGAGACACCCCCCCATCTCCAAAATAATCAGAGCAAAATGGATTGAAGGTGTGGCTCAAGTGATAAAGAGTCCTGAGTTCAAACTCCAATCCCACAAAAAAAAAAAAAAAAAGAAGAAGAAGAAGAAAACTAGCACTCTTATAAACAGTTCTGGGCATTGTATGATCTGTCTGTAAATAAAACCACATTTTACATGTACCAGGAAATTTACTCTGTGAAAGAATTCCACTGTGACAAATTCTTTCACAAATGGAATAATTACTCCTCAATTTACTGATTCTTTAGTAATCAGGACCCTTCTCTGTTTGCTTCTGTGGTAAGATCCCCTTTGCACGGGTCTTCGACTCTCCGAGGTACTTTAAGCTGTCCAATAGCCCTCTCAGAAGAGAAGTCAGGTGGGGGCTGCAGGCCAGGAAGAGAAGAAGGTGGGCCCACCCTGCTCTACCCCACCCTGTGCTTTCTGAGGCTCTGAGCCCTGCTTCAGGCCTCTGCCTTCCATCTATCCAAGGTCCCCACTCTTTCATGCACCAGCCCCACTTTCCCAAGGATACAGCATAGCCAGCAGGCACCCAGTGGTGAGGCAGGAGGGGAACAAGGACCCCAAAGCCAATCACAGCGAAGAAGAGGTACAGCAGCCAGGCCACAATCTGGAGTGGGTGAGGAGGCCAGCTCCACCCATTTCGGCGGGACTTCTGTCCCTGCAGCTCTGGGGAGGGTCTGCTGGCCTGTGCAGGTGCCGTCCACACACTCTTCTCAGGGGCTGTCTTGTTGGAGGGCTTGTTGCAGATGTTCATCTCCAGAGGGAGAAAAAGTAGAGATCATTAGCCTTAGGAGGCTGCAGTGGGAGCCCAGGGCCCCATGCCTGCATCCAGGATTTAGCAGGAGCAGCTGGGACATAAAGCCACTTCCCAGTAATCTGCAGGGCAGTCTGGGATCCTAGTCCAACAGACATGGTCAGTGTGGGGAGGGAGAGTGGGTAGCGGAGAGCTGTCCCAAAGCCCCAAAGAAAGCTCTGGCCTCAGCCCAGCCAGAACAAGGGAGAAAGGTCTAGGATTATTCAGGACACAGTACGGTTGCCTGATACTCAATCTCCACAGCCATCAAAGTGAAACCCAATAAGACATGTTCTCATCTGGTAACAATATCAGGCTAGGGCCAAAGAAATGAGAACACATTCTGATTCTGTTAGGATTAGTCACCTCCGTCCTGAGATCCAAATGCAAGTGTCAGAGTGGGTCCCTTATCCTCTGCTAAGGGAAACGGGGGAAGGGGGGGCGTTAAAAATGGGGATCTGGCCCCAGCCGCTTGGCAGACACATAATCCCTTTAGGAGCAGGGACCCAGAACCTCTCCCCCATGCTTCAGAAAAACTGCTTGAGGCTTCTTGGCCAGGGATGAGCCAGCACACAGACAGGAGAGGAGTCTTCTTTGGTTCCTTCCAGAAGCAGAAATGACCATGTTTCTCTAAGGAAATCTGGGCCTGGTATACAAATTCACCTAGAAAGGTGACCTAATGTCCCTTTGAGTTGCTTGAGGGAGCTCAAGAAAAGGCCAGCTTTGGCAAGAGTCAGACCACCAGATGGCAGCAACCTCCAACCTGGCCTCCCTTCAGCCCAATAATTGGCCTGATTACCAAGCATATACAGCAGGCAAGAAGGGATGGGCTTGTCCTTACTGGAGGAAGAACTCTCTATCCCCAGTATCTTCTGGGCCTAAGAAGATGCCAGGGGCATCACACCTGGGGACACAGACCAGTTCTAGGCTCTTGGTTGGAAGACCAGGAGCTAGGAACAAAACCCTGGCCTGGTTTCAGAAGCCCTTGCCCATAGGCCAGCAATCTGACTAAGCAAAAAAGGCACAGCAGGCCCCATCTCAACACATTTGCCTGGAGCATATACTTACTCCATAGCCCAACAAAATACACATGGGTTTTCAGAGCCCACTACAAGCATCCCCTCATCTATGAAATTTTTCTGCAGTCAGGGGTCTCTGTGCTCAGTCCTTGCTGGGACAGTCACTTTGACATTTGGAACACTTTACCATCCCCATGTCCACCCCTCTGTTATGCTAGTTTCACTGAAATGCAGTAAACATGCTGTGATTCATTTGCCTGTGTCCCCATGTCTCCTCCCTCAAGCATGCAGAACTGTACCTTGTACATAGTAGATGCTCAGTGAATGTTTGCTGACTTGAAAACATCTGAAATAAAAGGAAATGTGGGCAAAGTAAATGTATGAAATCCTGGCCCCCTGAAGCCATCTGGCTCACTCTGCCCTGCCCTGAAGCAGCCCCCATTCCACACAGTTATATCCAACAATGGGTCACCCAATCAATGACACATTCTCCACTCCCACTCCCTCTATCCACTGTCTGTCACCCAGCTACATTTACTCTTAGACACTCTACCCTGCAGCCCACCCAAGGCTCCTCTTGCAGGCCAATCTTGGCAGTGTTTGAAGTCACCTCTGAGTAGTCTCATCTCAAAGCTAAATGAAGGGACCCCAGTTTTCTCCCAGAGATTCAAGTGGTGTTTTCTGGTCACTTTCCCTGTCTTTAAAAAGAAGCCACACAAGAGAAAAAGAACCCTAGCTTCAGAGGAAACAGGTCTAGGTTTGGCTTTGTCTCTGCACTTACTTACTAGTGAGTTTCCGCATCTGAAAAATGGGGGTGGGATGTCCTCTAGAGTGGAAGATAGATCAGTGACACTGGAGGCAAATCCCTGACATGGAAATGGTCACTAAATAGGAGATGTTGTAATTATTCTCAAACAGCATTCTGGTTTGTCTCTTATCTTTAGGCTGTGGCTACTGTGTCTGATAGTCTACAAGGTTTATATATAAAGTGATGCAGTTGGTTGAAGTTGCTTTCTGTTTTTTTCAACTTAGAAAAAAATGTTTTTACAGGAACAACAGAGCAGACAGATAATATTAAAAACATGTACTTGCCCAGGGGCCAACTCAGAAAAGTATAGTGAGTAGATGGAATCTACTGTAAGATTAAAATGCTACAAACATGATTTAGTAGTGTCAATAAGAAATTTACTTTTTTTTTTTTTTTAAACCAATTGCAGCCGGGAGCTGGTGGCTCACACCTGTAATCCTAGCTACTCAGGAGGCAGACATCAAGAGGATCAAGGTTCAAAGCTAGCCTGGGAAAACGTTTGTGAGACCATGTCTCAAAAAAAACTAATCACAAAAAAGGGCTGGTGGAGTGGCTCAAGGTATAGGCCCTGAGTTAAACTCCAGTTCTGAAAAAAAAAAAAATTGCAATTTCTGTCTGATTTCTGTCCCCTATTTTTCTACTTGCAATCATATATTTAGGTAACTTTTGACCCCACAGGAAAAAAATATGTAACATTCAGAACTATAGGAAAAAGAAAAAAAAAATTTGAGAATAAAATATTTCCTACCATAGTGGATTCTTGAGCATTTTCTGCACTTATGCATCATGCTATCTAGATATCTTTTGGCATAACTGTTACATATTTGGCATGGATAGTGCACAACTGGTATCTTCAAACAGGCCAACCAGCTAGGCCTCACGTGACCCTGAAAGTATCTATCTGCACTCTAGAAGCATAGATTTGTTTTGAAGTCCTGAACAATTTCTTGTAGCAGACACTGGAAGGTGAGTTTACAAATCAGAAGTTCAGTGGAGCAATCTTGGAGTCTGTGGAGGCCTGCTAGGAACAGGACTTCTAAAAGATAAGTATGTCTGGAAGGCTATGGTGCAAGTCATTTTTGCTGCCTATAAACGGGGTCTCTGGAACCAAAGGGAGCAAACGGCTCTTCTTAAAATTGAAGGTGCTTATGCCTGAGATGAAACCAAATTATACTTGGACAAGAGATGTGCTTATGTGTATAAAGCAAAAAAACAAGGTGACTCCTGGTGGCAAATTGAACAAAATCAGAGCAATCAGGATAACTTGTGCCCATGGAAACAGTGGCACGGTTCAGGCCAAATTCCAAAATAACCTTCCTGCTAAGGCCATTGGATATAGAATCTGTGCAATCCTGTACCCCTCAAGGGAAGAAGAAAAGAGGAGGAGGGACTAGGAAGGAGGGAGAGAGGGAGGAAGGAGAAAGTAGAAGGGGAGAGGAAGAGAGTAGAAGGGGGAGGAGGAAGAGAAGGAGAAGAAAAAGGAGGAGATGGAGGAGAGGACGAAGAAAAGGAGAAGGGGAGAAAGTAGTAGTAGTAGTAGTAGTAGTTGTTCAGTGGACTCTGTAGTGCCACAGTACCAGACCTGTAACCATGAGGCTTCTACACCCCTCCAGTAGAGGGCATACTCTCTATGGCAGCTTTTGTAGCCAATTGTTTCCTGGATGATTCATCACCAGTGGCTTTCACTGGCAGGCAGTCTTGCTTTGTAGGAACTATAAGAGATCTCCAGTCTCCTTACATATTTCTCTTCTCCTTGGGCTAGAGCTCTCCCAGCTGGAGGCAGTGCTGGCCTTAATGAGCCACAGTGGCCCTGTGGCCCTTCAGAGGCCCTGCAGCCTCCACTGCACACATAATTCTGAAGTTGCGTTCTCAAGGGAGTATCTCCAAAGAACACATTGTTAAGAAGTAGGCCACTGGATTGTTATTCTAATCTCATCACCTCCAATTAAAGGTGAAAAAGGGGATCCAAAAAAACGGGCCTTTATTTGGAATGTCCCAAGAGGAGCAAATCTTTGTCTCTGATTTGTGGAAATAGTCAAGAGTCATCAAGTCAAGCCCTAGATACAGTTGAGCTGGATGGTACCACTCAGGGACAAATTTCTATGGATTGCAATGGGCTCTCCAGGGACACCATCACCAGGACAAATACTTTGAAGGGAACCTATGAATTTGGATCTCAGCCTGGCATTCCCTTTGACATCACCACACTGAACAGTCCTATACTCTGAGGGAGTTTCCAAAGAGAGAAACAGGCATGTGGCTGATGTGTCCCCTCTGCATGGCAATAACAGGCACCCGGTTATTGTACCCCAGATTTCTAAGGCACGAGGAGTCACCATCTCAGGCCAGGGTATTGATGCAAACAGCCCTGGGGGCAGCTCTAACTCCAATCAGGATATTCTTGGGCCATAGAGGTGCCATTTGTCTGAGATTTCGATGTAGAGATGATGCTGTTGAACAGAACTCTCTCAAAGCAGTGGCAGCACTCTGGAATAGACACCCAAGCCGGCCAGAGGCATGCTGTCTGCTTCAAAAACCTGAGACAGCTAACTCTTCACTGATGACATTCTCTCTCATGGAATTGGTGGTCACAAATTCTTTTGGCTCAAAATATTTTGATTAAAGGGCTGGGAGGTCAGAGAGTATCCAAGGTGGGGTCCAAGGCCCACGATGGGACCAAGCACTGTCATCAGACCCAGGGACTTCTCTGGCTGTCCCTTCCCTCTCAGTACTTCTTTGGGAGACCAGATTGAAAGATGTGTGGCTCTGCTTCCCAATAACATGGCCAGCTGGTACATTCAGTCTTTGGCCAGGCAGGACTTACTAGGGCCCCACCCCCAACGTGTACTGAGGATGTAAACACAGATGAGACCAGGCACCTGCCCTCAAGTGACTTCCTTTCTTAAGGCTTAGAGAGACACAAAGTAACATCAGGACAGTGCATGGGCATTTTGATAGTGCTTGCAAGAGCCAGCCATTCGGTGACAGAACATGGGGGGAGTAGGGCCCAGTGAGAGATGGGCTCTGAGGAACTACAGAGCGGAGATCACAAAGATCTAGGAAGCCAGGTCAGGACACTTAGGCATGGCTGAAGGAGTCACAGTGAGTCTAAGGAAGTTTAAAACAGGAGATTACACACAGTGAGGAATGTTTTTGAGAGCTTCTAAAAGGAAGGCATGAGCAAGAGGGGAAAGGATGGGAAGAGAGGACATCATAGGAGACTTGCCCAGGAAGGCAGAAGCCCAGCAGCCCTGTGCTTTGGGAAAAGTTGGTCAGAGGGTGAAGGTCAAACCCACAAGCTCCCTGCTACCCACCTGGTGCCCTCAGCTGCATCTTTTGTAAGCTGAGTGGCATGTGGGCCTTGGAAAAACCTTCTTAATGTCTCTTCTGCTTCCAAAGGACAAACCATGGAGTTAGTCTAGCAGAGATACAGAAAAGACAAGAGCAAGGGGGCCTCGTAGATTGTTACAGCCACAGGTAGGTGCTGCCTACCTGTTTGGCTTCTGAAAAAGGATGGAAAGGCTGTGTAGGTCCCTCCTTTGTCCCTACAAGGTGAAGGCCATTGCCAGAATGACAACAATCTATTCTATTTAACATCCACTTGCTAAAAGCCTTAAATAGCATTTTAAAAATAAGATTAGGCTACCTTAATTTATATACTTAAGTTAAATGAAGAAAATCTTAACATTTCAAACTCTCATTATGAACAGTACAATAATTACATAAATGATCCACTTCCTGCCCACCTCTGCTCCAATAAACAAAAAAATACTTAGGCAGTAAGGCCCAGTAGCACACATCAGGAAGCTGAGACAAAAAGATCACATGAGCCTGAGAGTCAAAGTCAGCCTGGGCAACATAGAAAGACAGTAAGACACTGTCTCAAAAAAAAATTTTTTTAGGATTATTGTTCTGAAATTCATGCATGGTACTGTCAAAGGAACCAAACTGAACCAGCCCTGGAGAGCCTATGAGCAACCCTGGAGTCCTGCAAGATGTCTAAGGACTTCAAATCAACTCAACAACAAAAACAGTGGTCGAGGGAGGACCAGGAACTCAGAGGGTATGGTGCTGGGGTCAAACAAGAAGGTGATGGGGATGAAGTGATAGCTTGGAAGGCCCAGAAACCTGAGCCATAGATGGGGAGACGCAAGTTGGAACCACAGAAGAAAGATGGACATGAAGACAGAGTTTTTCTGCTTCTGAGAAGATCTAGAAGCCCAGGCTGGAAGTTGAGATGGAGATTTGCTTTTATTCTGCATTCCTTGGTCCTGTTTGAACTTTTTTTTTTTATCCTGAACATTTACTGTGATTTAAAAAAAAAAAAAAGTGAGCTGGAGTGTATCTCAATGAAAGTGAAGCCCTGAGTTTGACCCCCCCATACACAAAATGTGTGTCAAACAGTAGAGGGGTGTCACCTCTTGCCCTTCTGGTCCCATTGGGCTGTCATGTGGACCAAATGTACTTCCAGATTAGACAAACCAGGAATTCCTGCCTAATAACCATGTAACAAGAGTGCTTGGTTTTAGTTAGGTACTTTCTTAACTCTTGAAAGCAATTCTAAGCTGCTCAGCTTCAGAACTGTTAGGAAGAGCCACAGAATTTCCTAACACTGCTAGGGGGCCTTGTCAAAGCTGCAATCAGACCCCAGGCAGCACAACCAAGTAGCTGGACAGGACCCTGCACTGTGACCCCCCCAGGATCCAAAAGGAAGGTGCATACCACAGAAAATTTTTGCTCAAAAGCAGCTTTTCGTTCTTCTAGAGAATTTGCAGTTTCTATAGAAAGATCTTCCATATTTTGTTTGTTTATTTTGGGTTTTGCACCACTGGGGGTTGAACCCAAGGTCTCATGCAAGCTAGACAAGTACTTTACCGCTTGAGTTAAGCCCCCAGCCCTTTTTTGTTTTTGTTTTTGCTTGGACTAACCTTGATTCCCCTGCCTCCACTTCCTGAGTAGCTGAGATTACAGGGTTGAATTATAAGTGTACACCATAATTTCTATGGGTATTTCTAAATTTTCGATTTTTTTCTCCCAGGATCTGCTTTTGAAATAATCTTCTCTGAGATCTAACATGCTCCAATTTTAACCACATAAAGGGGAAGTGGAAAGAAAATACTTCATGGTGCATATTGTTTTACAATGCAAAAAGTCTATAAGAGACTTTTACAGGCAAATATTGGGGATAGGTACAATACTGGATTTGAGCTCAGGGCTTTGTGCTTGCTAGACAGGCGTTGTACCCACTTGAGCCACACCTCCACCCCTCAAGTACTTTATTAAAATTCTCCATAGGTGCCAGAAAAGTCACTTTAAAATTTTTGAGAAGTGCCTATCGTTTGATAAAGGATGTATGTACATCACAGAATTCCCAGAAAATAAGCTGGAACTTCAAGTCATTCTCAAAGCCTTTTCCAGTTACTGATCTTAGATGTGGCTGGGCCCTTACTTTCTCGCTGGTAAACAGTATGGTGGAGTCAGTTGCCATGGCAAGAAAAACTTGAAACCTCAATCATGCCTGAGTTGACATGGTGTGCAAACATTTCTGTGCTATTCTCCTGCAGCAACCACTACAAACTGAGAACCAAGTTAGTCAAGGAACAGGGACAAGAAAGAAGGAACAACAGGAAGCAGAAACAAGGCCAATGAAAGGATGCAAGGGCTGTTGATTTTAATCAGGAAATGAACTAGGATTGTAGGAGCCAATTTGGGGAACACCCACCAAGAAAGTCATTAAGAATAAAGTTGTAACAGAACAAAGTAAGAAAAACAAAAACAAAAGAAAAAAAAACTAGCTAATTAAGCACCACTGTTGCTTTTATTGCATCCCCTGATGATTATCTGTTCACAGACCTTACTCTCAGTGAACCAACAGTTCCACAAAAGCAGTGACCACCCCTCATCCTTGTCTGAATCCAGCTCTCCTTCAGTGAAGGAAGTGAAGCCACTTGTTACCATTTCTGCTGCCATCACCCTAATCCAAGCCTCCATCACTGCACTCCTATAGTGTTTCCATGACAATAATAACCATCACTGGCATTTAAAGGCCATTATTATAGGCCAGGCACTGCTTTCGGTGCTTCCATGGAATTCGTTTAATGCAACCCTCCTAACACGTAAGGTGGGTCCTATCATTTCGAACTGTTCTCATAGATCACTTTAGTTGCTGATCTCAGGTATGGATGGTCTCTCACTTTCTCTCTTGTAAACAACATGGCAACAACACCCCCCTTGCACAGATGAAGACATGAAGGCTCAGGGACTAAGTCCTAGGAGACACAGCGAAACTGGCAGAATTAGGATAGCCATCAACCGACATCCCACAGCAGCCAGAGCTTTGCACAATTTGAAACTCATCAAAACTCTTTAGTGGTTTCCTCCACCTGCCAGGATGAAGTTAAAAGCCTCTCTTTCTGTTCCATCCTAGTGCTCTGCTGCCTCCAAACCTCTGCGTTTGCTTTTCCCTGTTTCAGAAACACCCTTCCCCTGCTCACATTGCTGGTTTCTTTCCAATCTCCAAGTCACCTTTTAAGGCACATCCTCCCTGGCCACCCCCTCCATTTAATTACCAGAACACTTAACCTGACCAGAAATCACTTTGGTCAAGTGTCTGGCGCCTGCTCCCCAACCCCTCCTTAATACTTTGTGGGTTCTGGCGACCGAAGCCATCTGCTCTGAGCCCTCCGTGGCCCCGCGCCTGGCACAAAGCCTGGCACAAGCGCGCTCAATGCAGATCTGTGAGCCTACTGGATTCTACAAAGAAGCCCCGCGCTCTGCCGGGTCCCTGGAGCCCAGGCCGCGGGCTCCAGGCCGAGGCCAGCCCAGAGCCCCGCCAGGCTCCGAGGTGAGAAACGCCGCGGAGGCTCCTCACCTGCGCGTGGCGGCGGCTGTACCAGATCAGCCCGGCCAAGGTCAGCCAGTGGTTCGGCCCCGCCAATGCCGTCCAACCTCCCCCGGGCGGCCGCACTTCAGACCGTCGCGGCGGCAAGGTCGGTCCCCGGGACAAGAGGCGTCCCGGAGCGCGGCCCCATCCCGGACCGAGGTTGGCGGGCGAGTCCTCCCGCTCCAGCTGGGGCAGGCTGGCTGTGCGGGCCCGGCCAGGCCGAGGCGGGTTGGGCCTCGTCCGGCGCTGGGCCCGTTCCCCTGGCAACAGCGCGGGCTACGGCGCCCCACAGCGGCCAAACCGCGCTGCGTCACTTCGCGCCTGTATTCTGGCTCAGGGCGGGGCTTGCCAAGGACCCCCTGACGCCCCAACCCTCCTCTTCCCCATTTTCGCCCCCTATTCTCGGAGGATACTCACTTTTCCCACCCCTGATGCAGTTTGTCTTCCTGAAATCTTGACTTGGTCCCTGCAGCCTCATCCAATTTCTCCTGAGACCACCAAAGGAAACCCCAAACAACCTACATTCTTTTTTTTTTTAACTACAGGTCTCATAGCCCAGGCTGGACTGGAACCCTCTATGTAGTTCAGCTTGACCTCGAATTTGCTATCCTCCTGCCACGGCCTCCCAAGTGCTGCTAGACTTAACGTGCACTTTTTTTTGGGGGGGATGGGGGGTTGGACTGGGGTTTGAACTCAGGGCTTTGTGCTTGCAAAGTAGGCACTCTACCGCTTAAGCTTCATGTCCAGTCCGTTTTTGCTATGGTTCTTTTGGAGATGGGGTGTCTCTCCAACTATTTGCCTGGGCTGGCCCCAAACCGGATCCTTCCGCTCTCAGCCTCCCAAGTAGCTAGGATTACAGCACCGGTGTAGCTAGGATTGTGAGCACTGGTGTCCAGCACTTTAGTTACTTTTCTGAATAGGGTCTACTGCCTATGCTGATTAGCCTGGACCACTATCCGCCTATTTATGCCTCCTGCATAGCTGGGATAACAAGTGCCACTGTGTCCTACTTTCATTGGTTGAGATGGGGTCTGTTGAACTTTTTTCTCCCGGCTGGCCTCCAACTATGATCTTCCAGCTCTCCAAATCCCCAGTAGCTAAGACTACAGGCATGAGCCACCACACTTGGCACATCCTGTCCTCTTGAATTAAACTATGTACTAAGCACTAGACACACCATGATTCCTGCCCTTGAGAGAGATTACAGGTTGAAAGGAAGACATATCTACACAAATAAATTACACAAATAATTTTGTGTAGCTGGGTGCAGGTGTTTCAGCCTGTAATCCTAGCTACTTGGGAGGCTGAGATTAGGAGGACCCAGGTTCAAGGCCACCAGCCCAGGGAAAAAAATTCAAGAGACTCCATCTCAACAGAAAAAAGCTGGGTGTAGTGGTGTGTACCTTTCATTCCAGTTACAAGTGTAAAATAGAAGGATCATGGCCAGCCTGGGCAAAAAGCAAGACCTAGGTCAAAAATAATCAGAGAAAAAAAGGCTGGAGGCACAGCTCAAATGATAGAGCAAAGTACCAAAGCCTGAGTTCAAACTCCAGTACAACCAAAAAAAAAAAAAAATGCAAGCACCCCATAATATAAAGTGTGAATTATAAGAAAAAAAAATCTCATTTCTTTATTGCCCTTAAAGCATAAATCATTCTGGGAGCTTCAATCTTGGTCTCTATTTGGTTCTTCTTTCCCAGGTCATTCCAAAGGACTCATGATCTCAAAAAACCCTCCAGTTAGAAGTTCTTGTCTGGCACTGAGGCCACAGTCTATAAGAATTTTCAAGGTTTGGGTTTGGTGGGCCCCTCTGCTAGGGGACACACACCAAAGCCTGCAGATTCTCTTTCCTCTGTTCGCCTGGGGACACCTCTGCTGAGTTGGAGTCCCTGAAAGCTCTCTTCTTGGGGACAGAAAATGGCTCAGACTCTCTCAAAAGACAGGAAGAGCCTTTGTTTTCTGCCATTACCCTCTCCATGTCTCCAAACCTCCTAAAATGGTGAGCTGAGGCTGCTCAGAATAGGCAGATAGGGACAGAAAACATTCCTATCTCTAAAGTGTGTAAGTCACATGCATGCTACAAAGCATCATAACTCTTCCTATTCTGTCATGTGCCATTGTGGGCCCTTATGCAAGTGATTTAACTACTCTGTAATTTAAATTCTTGCTTTCAGGACTGATAAATAAAACCTAAAGTTGATGTGGGATAAGTACCAATGTTACTCTGGCTTCAGAACCACAAGATGACTCCTAATTTCTTATCTGGAAATGAAAACCTTAGGGTCAGAGATAGTGACCCAGAAATTGAGATGGAGGATGGGCTCTTGTATGCCCACAGGAAAGTGAGAGACCTGAGAGTCACAGCCTTCTAGACCCTGGACCCTCAGGCCTCCAGGGCACCTCTCCTGGATGTCCCGGGGTGTACTAGATGCAGCATCCCTATGAGGCAGGATAGCTAGAGGAGATGAAAGGGTGATTAAAATTAATATTAAAAGGGCCATTCCCAGAAATTAAAACAGAACCAGGAAGTAAAAACTGAAAAATCAGAGTAGCGAGCTCTCCTCCCATCATCTCCTTTTAGATGTTAAATAAATTAATAGAATAGGGAGACAGAACAAACTGCAATTCTTTTTTTTTTTCCCCCGCAGTACTGGGGTTTGAACTCAGAACCTACACCTTGAGCCACTCTGTAACCCTTTTTCATGAAGGGATTTTTTAGAGATAGGGTCTCACAAACTATTTGCTGGGGCTGGCTTCGAACCTCAATTTTCCTGGTCTCTGCCTACTAAGTAGATAGGATTACAGGTATGAGCACTGGTGCCCAGCCAATTCTTTCTTCGTTTAGATGTTAAGAAGCTGCAAAGCTGGGTGGTAGTGGCTCACATCTGTAATCCTAGCTACTTGGATGGCTGAGATTAAGAGAATGGCAGTTCGAGGCCCCCCTTGGCAAATAATCTGTGAGATCCCCACCTCTAAAATAACCAAAGCAAAACAGACTGGAGGTGTAGCTCAAGGGGTAGAGTGCAAGTGTGAAGGCCAGAGTCCAAACCCCCATCCCACAAAAAAAAAAAAGAGAGACAAAAAATGAAAGGGCATGTCTGGCAAATGTAAGTCTGGAAACTCAAACATAGTGTCCCAGTGTTTTGGGGAAACCTTGACCACATCTCTGTGTATCTCTGTGTTTAGAATAATAATACCCATCTGGGCCATGCTTGGGGTAATAGACCCACCCTGAACCCATTGTCATTTATGATCAGTCCCCCAACTGAGAAAGTATAAAGAACCAGATAAGAACCACAATTTTGAGTCTTCATCAGTGTGTGGGAAACAGAAAATGTTTCTCTCTCTCCCTTCCTGTTTCTCCCTACTTTATCCTGTATTACTAAAATAAGTACTTGCTTAACTTCTACCTCGTGAGACTTTCCTTGTTGTGAGACCCCTTGAAATGCTTTTCCATCATGAATCTCAATTCCTGTGAATTTCGTAAAAACTGAGAATCTGAGGGACCCGGCTCTTTTCTTCCCTTCCTACTATAAACCTACATGCCTTCTTTGTTCTTGCCATAAACCTGCTCCTCCCCTTGGGGGCCTCTCAAAGGCATCACCATCAACTCCACAGCCTGTCTCTACATTCAGTTCTAACCTAAACAAGGCTGTCTAATCCAGCACCAGGATGTCTTCCCTCTGAAACATGTCCTGTGTCCGTTCTTCCTGCTCTACCCCAGCAAGGCCACCAGCATCTTCCTTGCTGACCATGTGGCAGTTCCTGTCTGGTTTCCCTAAAACCAGCCTGCCTATTTCCAGTTCATTCTCCTCCCAGCTATCATTTTGTTTATTAACATGATGGCAGTCTGAATAATTGCCCCCCAAAGATGTCCAGGTCCTAATCCTTAGACCTGATAGAGATGTTATTTTACAAATTGAAAGGGATTTGCAGATGAGATGAAGTTAAGGATCTCAGTGGGGAAGATTGTTCTGGATTAGCTGAGTGGACTTAGGATAATCACAAGAGCCCTTATGGGAAGGAAGCAACAGGTTCAGACTAGGATAAGGACATTGGATGATGGAAATAGAGGTCTGAGAGATTTGAAAACACTACACTGCCAGGTTTGAAGATAGAGGAAGGAGCTGGGCATTGGTGGCTCACACCAGTAATCCTAGCTACTTAGGAGGCAGAGATCAGGAGGATCTTTATTCAAAGCCAGACCCAGGCAAATAGTTCGTGAGACCCTATCTCAAAAATACCTAACACAAAAACAGGACTGGCAGAGTGCCTGCCTAGAAAGTATGAGGCCCTGAGTTCAAACCCCAGTACTGATAGATAGATAGATAGATAGATAGATAGATAAATAATAAATAAGGAGGAAGGAGCTATGAGCCAAGCAACACAGGCAGCTCTAGAAGCTGGAAAAGGCATAGAACCTAATTTTCTCATAGAACCTCTAGAAGGTATCAGACTGCTGTCACCTTGCCCTTAGCCCAGTGAGACCCATTTCAAACTTCCGGTCTCCAGAACTGTAGGATAATAAATTTGTGCTGCTTTAAGTTATTAAATTTGTGGTAATTTGTAATAGCAGCAATAAAGAACAAATACAGTGGGTTTCAAATAAGGGTAAGTGCACATACATATAATCAATTACATACATGTTTTCATATAATAAACAGCTGTTGTCATTTGAAACAAAATCCAAGTGATAGCTCAGATTCCCTCCACATTCCCCTGAGTGACTCCAGGCCAGACTTTCTGAGAAGAAGATTCCTTCCCCCTCAAGTCTGCTTTCTAAAGGCACCAGCACATAGTGGGACTGCCATATGCTTTCTGATTCTGCGTCTATCATCATCAGACAGTCTGGAAGCTGACCTTGCCAAGGGCATTCCTGACTAAGGAAGGCTACATATTGCCTGCTCCCAGGAAAGCAGATGGCAGAGAGTTCTTTCTGAAGTGTACACAGCACTCCATTGGTCCTATTTGAGATCCTCTAGGGATCCCTTTGCCCTTAGGATCATGGAAAAGCCAAAGCATGGTTGCCAAGGGTCTGCTTGGCCAGCTTCCGTCTACCTCCCTGGTCTGTGATGCCCATTTCTGTCCTCTATGATGACTGCAACTCCTGAATGACCAAGCAGCATTTGCTTTACCCTCAGGCTTTTTCCCACAGGTTACCCTTTACTGGGAGTGTTGTCCCAGCTGCTCTCTTCCCATACCACCCCA